ATCAGAGAGGTCTTAACTGTTCTGCACATCTGTGTGTGTGGCGGGGGGGCTGCAGATTTGCACAGGCAGTGGTCCCACGGGTGTACGAGAGAGCAAACTGCAGCACCGCCGTGTGATAGAAAGAGGGTGATGCTAAAGTTTCATGGGTTGGCCATCACAGATCCCATCTGTCCTGCTTTGACAACTGATATTAAAGATGATTGTAAGCATTTTTATGACTTTTTTAAAAAGAGGCCCAAAAAAAAAAGGAAAGTTTGAAAGCAAACACAGTGTGTGTGTGTGTGTGTGTCAGGTTTTTTTTAAAAATAGCCCTTGCAGGATATTAGTGAGGCAGTATTCGCTCTGCTCCTTGTGTCATGTGATCGCTGCCCCATATGGCTGGCTTTGTTATCGAAGCAGCAAACACACTCACAACAGAGTATAGATATCAAAAACTCACCTTTTTTTTTTATCCACTTCAGACTTTTCTTTCCTTTTAGTCATTTCTGCTTTTGCATTCCTGGGTGCAGTTTCAGTGCAGACACACAGAGGGTGAATGCTTTGTGCATGACATTGAGGGCTCTACCTTTATGGCAGGCTTTACCACCTGAAGGCTGCACTAGGATGATTCCAGATAACTTGTTTTAATGTGGAGGCAGAGTTGCAGCAAAGCAGTGACAGTGGGCAGCAGTGGAGTACATTGGGTTCTTTCTCTCTGCAGCTTCCTAATCCACATGGCAGGAGGCCAAGGACGGCTGCAAGAGCCTAGACATGCCACCCAGAAGGATGTACAGTAAATGGACTTTGATGGACTTGCATGTATATACCTTTCCAGTCTTCTGACCACTCAAAGCGCTGTGCACTATATTAACCCATTCACACACACATTCATTAACGATGGCAGAGACTACCATGCAAGGTGCCACCTGCCCATAAGGATCTAAACTGATTCACATTCACACACTGATGGCACAGCCATCGGGAGCAATTCGGGGTTCAGAATCTTGCCCAAGACACAGCCATTAACAGCCACAATAGTCACAGGCTGGTGCTGCATATCAACACTACCAAATGCCATTCTTAAAGCTAGGGTTGGTACTCTTGAGAAACTAGCAAAGGTACAATAGATTTAGAAAATTATCCAAATAAGAAACAGCTCAGTGTCGCTAACTCTTTTACAATCAAAGTAGCTAGCAGCACTAGCAAGTCGGCAACAGGCAGCAACCTTCGGTTCTGAAGAGTGAAGCTAGTGCTGAAGTGCCTTAAACTTGCATTATCTCTCATGGCCAGCAGGGGGGGCGACTCCTCTGGTTGCAAAAAGAAGACCAATTGTATAGAAGTCTATGAAAAAATGACTCCACTTCTCACTGGATTTAATACATCAGTAAACATTGTAAACATGAGTTTATGGTCTCAATCTCTAGTTTCAAGTCTTCTTCAATACAGCATGATGTTCATGTAGTAAATTATGGTCCATTTAGAGTCAAACAGACCATAAAGCAGAGTATGCTTTAGGGCGGGGCTACCTTTTGATTGACAGGTCGCTGCTTCCTTTTATTGGTTGCAAAAAAAACAAGATGGCGATGGCCGTAATCCAAGATGGCGACGGCCAAATCGAGGCTTCAAAACGTCAGTCCACAAACCAATGGGTGACGTCAACATGACTACGTCCACTTCGTATACAGTCTATGGGCGGCAACACCGAGAGCCTGTCCTGTCAGGCCTCCCTCCAAAGCCACTCCCCAACACTCAGCTGACAATGAGTGCAGGGGAAGAATACGCTCAGACAGGTAGGTAGACAGACAGGCAGCCCGTCCAATCAACACATCCGGGGACAATTAAATGATTGGACGGACTTATTATATTTTTCATTTTTGTTGTCAGAGCATTTGATTCATTGATGGCTGTCGGGGTGTAACGAGAATTTCAACAGAAATATGTAATATTTTATATCCTGCCTTTAATTCCTCCGTTTTGATGCATTCCCAGTGATAAATACCCAACCGACATGCACACGGCATCATGGGTAAAAGTATGTGTTGTGTGCCTCCTTTCGCACAAGACAACTGCTCCGTTCCACAAGCAGTGTAAGAGGGGAAGGAGAGCATCCGTCAACCGGAAGGCCCACCTTCACATCCATGCATGGTAGCACCTAATAGGCCGTTTAAAGTGTCCTTCAGTCAGCAAATCACTTCCAGCTCTGAAGCTGCTGTTTCACCACTGACCTAAAAACAGTCAAGCACAAAAAAAACCTCATATTCTTTACACCTAAATCCTCAATTTTCATATTTTGTAGTCCACAAGAACACTATCAAACCATGCAGCTCCATCAGTCATACAAACCGTCAAGTCACACTAGCACTTGGGAGTTTTGGAAGTACTGTGGCTGATGACTTGTGGATGAGGAATGCCAGCAACCACAGGATATTAACCACTTCAAAAAGAATGCAGCTTGTCATTATTATACTCTTGGGATCTTTGCCTTCCTTCTTTGGCTGACCGGTCACACGCCGGTGCGGGTGCGGGTGCCAGCCACAGAGATTTATTTGGAGAAATCGCTCATATATTTGCTCTGAGGCAAACCCACGCGGAAGCGCTCTTACTTCAGTCCTACAGAACATTTGTCAGCACGGATGGAAGAAGGAACCCAATAATTTAACCAGCAGAGTGGAAAAAACAAACTTCTTTCTATTTTCAGGGAATGCCAAATACTCTCTGCTGGAACCGACATCACCTCATACAGACGGGTGATTTGTGTGATGGATCTTAATTGGCACACGGGTGGAGAGGGAACATCGTAGGCAATTAAGTATTTGACTTAATTTTCTGGTATTCCTATGATACATAATTAAAGTCATGAATACAAAAACGAAATAGGTTAGGGGGTTTCCTCAGTGGTGCTTCTGCAACAAATTTAAAACAGCAACATCGGGAGCTTGATTAGGTTTGCACTGGTATTTGTGTCATTTTTTCATAATGGATTTTGAAACATGAACGTCAGCCCCTCTCTCGTTACACTGCCATTGAGGAAACACTTACTCAACCAAAGGGAGCTGTTTAAATATCCACTACTAAAACCAGTTCCTCTAAGTTATAAATGACCGGAGTGTAGAGCTTTCATGGGCTCATAACAGCACCTTCTGTCTTCTCTCACAAACAGATTTCTTTCCAGAAGGGACCTCCTCACCCCATCCCGAGGGAGGGGCCTTACCATTCTTGTCAAGTATCATTCAGTGCCCCCACCCACCCCACCCCACACACACACACACACACACACACACACACACACAGTAAGTCACCTGGAACAGTGGCGGTTTCCCTTCACCCAGGACTTCTCCCAGCTCGACAGGCTGACAGGTGGGGTTTTATGCAACCCGCGTGACGATGCGGTCAAATCAGCAGACACTTACATTTTAGTGCGCCTATATGCTGAAATTCACGGTAAACGCATTCAAACGGCACAGATCGGGAGCGAGCGAAGGACTTTGCAAAGTTAGCGGAAAGACAACATCCGGTTTTCAAAATAAGATGTCAAATAGACGGAAAAGATTACCGTCAGACAACATCCGGTTTCCAAAATAGAATGTCAACTAAGCGTATATACACATTGCATCTGTGGAAATAAGATTAAATTAATTTTATTAATTTGTCAAATTCTGATGTATTTCAAAATTAAAGCCCTTCAAAATCTCATTCATGAGCTAACTTCAAATCACATTCATGAGACAATTAGTCTAATGCTATGGAAGCCCATTTCCGAAAAGCAAAAAAAAAATGACCAACACTTTTGCTGCATCCATCTGTAACCATGACATAGAGCAGATGTTTCCAGTTTCTGTTTAATGAAGGTCTTCACCTCAGCCACATCGGTTTTATTCTTTGTACTCCAGAGCTGCTTCTTGCTTAAAATCCTTTCAAGGGTAAGTTTGCTCAGTGCAATCCATGTGAAACAGCAATCAGTGTTTCATCTGTTGTAAAGCCACGTTTAAAGTAGTCTTCAATGTACTCACAATCCATTTATATGTTAAATGTAGGGTAACCTATGAAAACCTGCTTCTACGACTGTTGTGTTAAAGTATCTCATAATTTCGACTTTCTATCTCATAATTTCATCTGAAAAAAATCTTAATTCAAAATCGAAGACAGTGTTGGCCCAGAAGTGCATCACACTTCATGTTCTGCTGCTTGACAAATAATTCTGTGGTGCACATTCCAGTCCGCTCGTCTATCTGGGATTGTGTAGCGTTTGCTGACATGCAGACGGCTGCTGAGGGCATACAAATGAGCCAGGTGACCGGAGCGCCTCCACAGCTGTCCAGAGCAGCGTCACAGACAGATGGGAGATATTTGATCAGATGTCGCAGACCTTTACACATCCTCAGGGAGCCAGGGAGCCAGACACACTCCTCATCCCCTCAGGTTGTGTGCACCACGTCAGACTGGGATGAGAGTACAGGCTTTGGGATAAATGGGAATTCAGCCATCGCATACACACAAAATCTTTCTGTAAAGAGGAACTTTACATTTACCTCGCTTGCTTTACTAATTCAATTTCTTGTTCTGCAATCAGTTTTCTTAAGATGCCTCTACTGAGCATTTACATGTGTTTTTTCACATACACACAATAAACCAGAGTAAGAAATAGTCAACAATGAAACTGTGAAAACTTCAGAAAAAAAGTAATATTGAATAAGAGATGGATTAGATGTGAACAAGGAGGAAAATAAAGTGCATCACAGACGAGATAAATGAAACGGCACTGATGCAGAAAATTAATTCACGGATACGTTGAAAAATTGCAGGTTGAGTGGGTGTGAGTGACAGATTCAGTGTTGCAAGTTGAAGCAAAGCTAGAGTATTTAATTCAGACTGGATCTACATCTGTAGTTCAAGTTATTCAGAAAAACAAAAAGATGCTTCCTGTCCGGCGGTGGGAAGATGTTTGATGTTTGTTAAGTGTTATTTTAACGGTTCAAGTTAGAGTTATAAACTTTTCCGATGAATAATCACAAGACCGGCGCTGAACGTGATAAGTACAAACTTTAATTAGCAAAAGGCAAGAGCATAATCACACAAGCAAACAAACTTGCACATCTTCATTATGTGCTGAAAGCTGTTCAGATATGGTTGTAAAGCATGACAAAAAGAACAGCACTGAAACCATTTGATCATCACACACACTCGTCTTACAGTAAAACTGAATTTCACTAGCTAACATAAATACGATTCCTTGTTGAATACAAAAATATCACACTCTCTCTGCAGTCGCACAGTGCTGCACGAATCTCCTCCCGGAAATGTGTTCGGGTAAAAACAAATGTGGAAGAGAAACATCACATCTCAGAAATGACACCGGGTCACATTTCTTCTGCGCTGAAGCAACGCTGGGATAAAAGCTGAATGATGGTTCACATTCCCCAGCTGGTTCACAGTAATGAATCAAGCAGGAGCTGCATGCATTATGGCTCAAAATAAAACAGTAATGTTACGTAAAGAAATGCCCGGAACAATAATAAACCAACCTGTTCTCAGTTAGGGTTATGCACATTTGAAGGGTTCTTCATCTACGAGGTGGACGGCTTTCATGTCACAAAATGTATCGGCTACAACAAAACAAAAGTATGTTTCCCTCTCGGAAAAATAAACAGTTTCAATTTAAAGTTTTGTGTCGTACATGGACCTCCTGAGGTACCAGATTTTGCATTAAATATATTAAGTAGCACACAAGTAATGGGTGAACAAACACACAAAGCAACCTTATTTAAAGCACAAACTAGTGGTTTGTTTTTTGCTCTCCAAAATATGTCAGTTAATAAACAGAGCAGTTTCATATAAAAGCCATTTCTATGGAAAACCACAAAAAAAAGACACAAATGTTTCCACACACAAAAATATACACACAAAGAGAAAACAGCTCCGTTAACATCTGTCAGCTCTTAACTGATCCGCTATTCTGAAAATGAAGTTCCTTTGAAGCATCTGTACCAACGTGTGAGCACAACTGAGTGAAGCTGAGACTTTGCAGTCACATCCCTCAGCATTCGCACTGAGGGACAGAGGCACATTCAAAATGCACTGACGGCCTGTGGTGGTCTGCTTCTGAAGAACAGAGCTTTATCAGGACTTGTAGTCTGGAGAGTAGAGACGCGACCTGGGGCTGCTGTTCGGTTGTATCGTGCGGTTGAAGGAATTCATTACTGGAGAGTCCAAACCTGAAAAACAGCCACGTATAATATAGAGTAATAAATAGAGCGTCCGTAGCAGAAAGAGAAAATAATACAAACAAGAAATAAGTGGAGCAGTTAAGGCTGTTCAAATACGCCAGAGTTTAAAAAGAGACCACTTCCACAAATGAGCAGCCTCATTAGTAACTGTAACGTAGATCTCTACCAAACATACTGAAGCAGCCGGAGCTCTGGCTGTAAATCGTGATATCAAACAGCGCGGCAGAGACATTCACGATGTACCCCAGAGACTTGAGGACTGATGCAATGCCTTAATTCTTTTAACATCCAAATAAGCTTTAAATAACAATGGGCGAGGCGGCACTTCATCAAAATAAATCTATTCTCACTGAAATTGTCCTGGAGTTTGTCAGATACCTCTATTATCTTTAATCATTCATTCTCATTGGAGTGTTACAGCCTAGTGGCATCAGAGAACTTCTCTTTACTGCTTTAAGAACAAAGCCAGATGGAGATCAAGAAATAAAAAATAACAAAAGAAATCCTCTACCTACGCAAATCTATTTGAGGTTTCTTTATTTGCTTTACAGCCGTAGCGTCACAGTGAGGTGCCCTACCTGAGACGGGGGGCGGCGTCCTCTGCATGAAGGCGGGGTGATACGTTTGTTCCCTTGGGCTGAACACAGTGTGGAGGACTGCAGGGGATAAAAACAAACACATTTCAAAAACAAATCATCAAAGTGTCTGAAGAGCTCAGCATTTAAACTCTTGGGAATAACACAATTCCTTCACAACTTCTAGGTGCTTCAAGTTGTGAGCGCCATGGATGAAGACAGACCTGTCATATTATGACAATACTTCATTCTTGAAGGGACTTGTTTCATTCCTTTTGTCATGAAAGACAAAGCTGACCAAGCAAAGTTGGAGGCACTCAGTTTCAAATATATATAAAAGAACATGCATGAACATGCATTTCCTACAGTAGTGAGGTGACCCACCGATGATGATGATGGCTGTAGCGGCCAGCAGAGCGAACAGGGTGAAGAACATCATCTGGTAGCAGTTGATGAAGCTGTGCAGGGAGTGGCCCCCCTCAGTGAAAACAACTGGAGGAGCAGCTGCTGAGAGAGAGAGAGAGAGAGAGAGAGAGAGAGAGAGAGAGAGAGAGAGAGATAACAAGTCGTCAAAACCTCTTCAAAGCGCTGAGAACATACGACTCACTCATTAATGTCAGCTGATACAGAGTTTTACCTGTTGTCAAAAGAACTCAACGCAGAAAAATAGCTAAATTCTGAAGTTATGACAATACACATGTTGCCCTTTACTCTATTTCATGACTACTTTTTAGGGCTGCAAACTACTGTAACAAACATAAGGGACATTCTTTATTTCTGATATATGATCTGAAATCATCTATTCACAGATGAAATCATCAGTGTATAAGTGCAGCAGGACGTTCCTAGAATAACCAGTGTATGCCCCATTGTCCTCAGTAAAATACTACTAATGTTGATATCTTTGCCAACTTAAAATGAGGAAAAAAACTAGAGAGCAATGCTGAACGATTAATCAGGACAACAAACCCTCTGTGAAGTGATGTGACAGAGAAGTTAGAATAGTATACCATGGATGGAAAGCTTGTGGATAAAGACTCAGTCAGGCTGTATTACTGGAGGCACCAGGAATGATTCTTTTTCGGATTCGGCTACGTGGCTTGCATTGAAATGACTTGGGAGCGATAATGCATCATTTCAGATTTTTTCCAAACTTATTTCTGTTGAAAAAGGTGACAGTCCGACAACCTTTCCTGTGACCTCACTTACACATTCAGTATTCTTAAAACAACACGGCCTTGAGGCTTGAGGCCCAGTGCCTTGTCATTTGCATTGAAAGGATATCTCACCTAGCTTGGCAGCGTTGGGATCAGCCACTTGGATCAAAGAGACTGGGATGACGATACGCAGGCCGCCCGAGGTGCTGCTTATGGAGACGGAGGTAGAGACCGCTGCCTGAGGGTCCACGGCGCTGATGGTGTACTTTGAGAAACTGGGGAAGCCTTGGTGCACTTCACTCTCTTGGACAGCAATGTTGGGAGAAGCAGACACCACCTAAACAGGTGTGGAAAAGTGTTATACACATACTATATATACTTTGTTCTTAGATGTTCTACTAGAAGCGATCGCTTGGCCTGACCTCCGTGTTGGACAGGGCAGCAGCGGGGCCGTAGACGGTGAGTTCAGCTGATGGGTGCAGGTTTGAGAGCAGCAGCTCCGTCTGGTCGGAGTAGAGGCCCGGCTCTATGGGCAGCCTGGCGCCGTCTTGTTCCCCGGAGAAGACGCTGCCCTCCAGGCCGGCCCTCACCAGCAGGTTGGCCATGGACATGCTGAGCACACGGGTCTGTTGGTCCGTCATTGGCTGCAAGGTTATGGAGCATGTGTAGGAGCCTGGGGCAAGAATTCACAGAGGTGGAAGTGATGACTCAAGATGAATTATTGATGTGTGCATTTGGGACAAGAAATGGCAGCTAAAATACGTTGTTTTTCTTCTCTTTGTGCTCATGAAATAAGGGATGTGAATCATTATCTCTTCCCGTTATTGTGCACTACCATGAACGGAGCAAATAAAACATGTAAAAATATATGAGAATGACTATGGATCTCACAGTGTGTGATCCATCGTGTCAACGTGGACACTGTCAGGGAGGGTCATTTCACAACCAAATGCTTCCATTAGGACCTCAGTGGGATCCAGCTCAGTGGTTACAGCCTTGTATACACACAGTGAATGCCATCAGAGCTAAGGCAACAACTGGGGTGAAGTGCCAAACCCCAAACACAATTAGAGCAGTGCTTTCAGGCAACAGGGAGTCTCCTCGGTTCAATACATCACCTGGACACCTTTTATAGTCCCGGCTAAAGTCATTCCACGGGCAACGCAGATATCGATTCTGCTCTTGTAAATTGTGTTTTCCTGCCAGTAATGCAGAGCGTATACATAAACTGTGCACCCAGGTTGGATTTCAGAGTCATTTTATTTTGGAACACTCCTAAAAAGGTCAAAAATGATGTGAATGTCAAAAAAATAAGAAAATGTTTAAGTATGGACAGTTAAGAGGTGCTACGATGTAGTTTTCAACCAACGCCTTCAAAATGTACAGTTCGTGATCTAAATGTAAAAAGGAAGGACAGCCCCAAGACCAAAATTAAAGCTACAGGATTGAATCCTGCTAGGACGCCCAAATTAACACGAGTCATCTAAATCCAATCCCATCAGTGCTGCAGGAGTAAATAACGCCCAATGCACTGGATCTGAACATAATGACATGATTCAATACTGCCAAATGATGTGCGAATGCTCACAGCCTTTACACATATATAAAAGACTCTCTGCTTCTTTGACCATGAATGTACTCTCTGGTCTGAATTCAGATCTGCCTCACCGATGCTGGAGTCAAAGCTGGTGTGTGCTTTGAAGACGTCATTAGCGGGGAAGTCAATCGCATCACTGGTGAAGCTGAGATGGCAGCTGACAGAGGTTTCTGGCTGCAGCTGTGAGAGAGCTTCAGTCTGGGCAGAGGAGCAGGTTCCTGCATGGTAGAGCACACCGGCATCAGACACACACCCCTCTCTGCTTCATTATGAAATCAAGTCAACAGTTTAAGAGATAGATGAAAAGATTGATACCAATCTCATATCCGTCTATGAAACATGAAGCTAGCCAGCCGGTTAGCTTAGCACAAAGACTGGAAAAGGGTGGAAACCGCTAACCTGGCACTATCCAAAAGTAACAAAACACCTCTAAATCTCACTAATTAACACTTTGTACCTTGTTTGTTCGATTTTCCACTTTTTCTGTACAGATTAAACAAAAGAGATATATCGTGTTGAACACGGAGCTTTGGGGGGGCTGGTAGGTGGACTTTATCACCGTTGGACAGAGACAGACTAGCTGGCTCTCTCTCTTCTTCCAGTCTTTGTGCTAAGCTAAGCTAACAGGCTGAAGCTTCTTATTTACAATACAGACGTAAGAATCTTCTCATGTAACGCCCAGCAAGAAAGCAAATTAAGTGAATTTCCTAAAATGCTCAACTATTCTTTTAACACACATGTTTCCCTGAAACAGAGTTGGTTCAGTACCGATGAGGTTGCTTCCGCTCCCTCTGGTCGAGAGCAGGACTTTTGTTTCCTTGCCGATCCTCACAGGTGTCGCCTGCGCCGTAGCAGCCGTCTGTGTCGCTGCTTCAACGACCACCTACAGAACCATACGGAGAGAGAGAAAAGAGCCAATAAATCCTCAGACCATTCAGGTGTGTGCTCGAATGAATCACAATACATCCACAACTAACTGTTTACATCAATCACACCAGACAGTGAAACTAAACTCATTAAAAACAGCCAAGTGTTGAACGTGACATTATGGCTACACCTTCATTCAGTCCATTTCGTTAGAAGGCTTGTCAGCACCTTTCTGTCTGAGATAAAACACCTTGCACCAAATCACATCACTTATTGTTCTACTAATAGGAAATATTCATATAGAATGGTAAGTAACATTCAGCTCAGGAGCATGACCGGATAGAGCCCATTAATCCCTTCCACACTCCATCATGTATGAGAATCAACAGCCTTAATTAGGCAGAAACAATGAGTTACTGAAAGGTGATGATGGATATACTATACAGCTGTTGTATTTCTGTTCTTATGATATATTGCTGAAGGACTGATGCACTGGTGGAGAAGAACAGAGATGTCGACAGTAGACATAAAGAAACCAGAGAGGCGTGCCGTGTGCATAATTACAACACGTTTCTTGTAGCTCATTCATCACAGTCGTCATTACAAAAAGGGAAACGGTCCGTCAGTGAAGCATGGCGGCTAAGATAGTAAGTTCAGCCTACATATAACATACCTCTCTGTACGTCTTCAAAACACCAGGTATCTCGTAGTACACGGTAACTGTCCCAGAGTCTCTGGCTACTGCTGCACCACTTTTAGAGTCCACCTGAAGAACGCCATTAGCCGAGGAGCTCCAAGTCCCATGAACACCTGCAGGGACGGGAAGATATGTCCAGCTTTAATATAAAGAATATGCAAGCTAAAAAAAGCTAAAGATCTCTACTAAAATCAAAATGCACTTAGGATAAATAGGTTCCTAATACTTAAAAGAAAATTCAATAAAATGCAGCATCAGACATATTGTGATTCCACTTAATCACAGTGAAGAAATACAATAACATTTAACTGCATAAAGATTGTTGAGGAACAAAAAAAGCAGATAATACAAGGCTGTCATCGTTGGAGTGCCAAATCTAAAGTATGAACCTTCTAAAGGTCTTTCTGGTCAAAATTGTTAATTTCTGATCAATTAGACATTTACACAGATCAGCACGTCTCTCACCATCTGGGCTGGTTAACTGGGCAGTGAAGCAGACCACATCCCCCACCACCAGGCTGTGGGCCTCATCCGGGTGAATGGCGTGCCCGACAGGAAGTGGAACGTAGTCGGCCACACCCACGTTCTCACTGTCCCACACAGCAAGAAGAGTGAGGCCCACGTTGATCGTCCTCACTGTCAGAGTGTGGTTACCGGGCCCCACCCCCACCTGCACCAAGTCATCTCTGCAGGTCAGAACAGAGGTACAGGATGAATTATTATTCATCAACCTATCCTCTAATACAATTCATTAAGAGACATCAAATATGGGCTGATGGGAAGTTATTGTAGCTTCAGGAACAAAGACTACACCTAATTTCTCTGCGACACCCTCGGGCCCGTCATTTATCTCCATTTGACCCTCCGTTCGTCCTCTCGTGCTCAACCCCTCGAGTCCTCGCATCTACAACCTTTATTCATTCCCCCGCTCCTTAACGGTCGCTCCAAGGAACTTATTTGCAAACATAGATAGCACTGTCGTTATTAGAGAGCTTGCTATGCTATTACTATTAGGCATGCTTTGTAAAAAACGGTCTCACATTCTTAGTTCAGTGGTGTTTTTTACCGCTTATTGCAATTACAACCTCCTATATATTTATCTTTTTTCCCCTGAAGGAATGTTTTGCTTTTTGCTTCCGTCTCCAAAGAATCTGTTCTGAACAAATAGGGCCAAACTGCTTCCCCCTCAGATAGCAGTAAAATCCAATGGGCTCCTTGAAGAGTGGGATCTAATCACAGACCAGCCCCTTTAGTCCCACGGCTACTTTACCACTCTGACTTTTATACTTTTTACCCCAAAATTGTCTGTCAGCACCTGGAGAAAAAGGTAATAGAATCAATTTATTGTGCAGACAGATGAGGGAGTCCCTCATCGGGAGGGCAGCAGTGCTCCGCCCTGCCCAACACTCCTCCCATTCATTTAGCACTCACTCGGGTGGAAACAACTCCATCTGAAATGAGGTTGAAGGAACAGCCCAGTAAATGAATGTGGTGAACTGCTAGTGCAGCCTGCCATGTCCTCTACTACCCTGGTTATACTCTACAGATATTGATAGAAAGTCATAGATGCGTCACTCATTGAGCCTCACCGTTTATGAATGGATGAATTATGAAGGTTAATAACAGAAACATACTGAGTGTTAAAGTAGCTATAGAGTGAGTGTTAACAGACCTGTTTGTGGAAAACGTGAGGTGGGAGTTGGAGCTGTGTAGGGCTTCTCCCGTGCTGGCATGAAAGTGGACAGTGAAGGTGAGCACTGTGCCCAGGGGCAAGGCTTTCAGGCTCTCCCTGGTGTGCGTGTAGAGCACCGGACTGGTACTGAAGCGCACATAGGACACAGGCACCACCTGAGGAATGAAGGGAAGAACCAGAGTCACACTCAGTAAGTGCAGGGACAATGTCAACTGTCATTTCAAGGGTCAGTACTACTGTTAAGACCATTGGTTTACATAGAACAGGATCGCCCAATAACTATGTATTTTGCCCGGAAACGTAATTGTCCTGCTTGTCTTAGTCAAATCAGAGGCTATGCAACGGTTCAAAGTACAATTTAACTCCCCTTTCATCAAATTCTTAAATCATTTTACCATTATATTTGACTTTGATGACATGTGGGGCAAACTAAGACAAATGATTGCTTCGTATTACTTTAACATAAAAATATAGGATATCAGAATATGCCTTATATATTTTTGCTAGGTCAGAACATATGAAAAAATAACAGAAAATGGAAGAATTCTATATAAAACTGGAAAACAAAAGAAATCATAAACATACATGTGAATGTCTCCGATATTAAGACAACTATTGTTCTCCAAACATCCATTGGTGTTCTTGAAATCGACTTCACTTTGAATACCCAGAAGATACCGCTTTTAAAACCTAAAATCTGAAACACGCTTCAGGCAGCGGCTCTCAAACGGACCTTCAAAGCAAGGAGGACGGTTTGATTGACACCAAAGGACTCTTGCGAGGTGATCAGCAGAGAGGAGATGCCAGTAAGAGAGCCAGAGAAGAGGAAGCCCTTATCATCCACTTGAGCGATGACAACCTGGTCGGGGCAATCCAGCATCCGGTAAGAGAGAGCCCCCACACCGTCCCTGTGAGACATGCAGAGACACAATGGCATCAAGTTATGCAAAGGTTTCAGGTTATTCTGCGATGAAACTTGTTGGGGAAATCCACATGCTTTTAGAGTAGACAGAAGCTACTGTGCAGGCACTTGTTACTCACCTGCTACTTTGGAGTTTGAGGGCTGAGTTTGGAGCCATCAGTAACTCCCCAGCCTCTACTTCAGGATTAAGCATGTGTAGCTTGTCATAGACCTTGATCAAAGCAAAATGTTGAAACTTCAATTAAAAAGAGGGCTTTAATCGTTCTTTGGTGTTTAGGGACACGAGACATGTCATAGTTTAATGCAGTTTGAAGCTGGATGCATTCAGCTTCGACTAATCTGCAGTCTTATCGCTTCACATAGTTAACAAAGCAGCAGGGGGACACGGTCATGTTATGCAACGCAGTCCATAACAGTGGTCTTTATGAAATATCTGCACATACAGTATGTATAAGTCTGGTGCTCAGGACACAGAGATACAATGTTTAGAGCGATGCCTGTTTTCAGGAGATGTAGCCACAGTGCTGTACCTGGATCTGGATCTCATCCTTCAGCTCCTGTAGATCCCCCACTAGCTGCCCAGCATTGGGGTCAGTAACTCTGAGCACCACCTTCAGCCCCGTGCGCCCTCTCGTTCTTCCAGTCACCCTCATGCCAAAGTTGTGCTCTGACTGCAGCTCCACGTTAGCCTGAAGGAGACAGGCGCCAATATGACGACGGCAAAAATAGCAGCGGCAAATTAAATAAAAGGGCAACAGTGATGAGGAAGCAGGAACAAGGCAGGGGCTGACAAGGAAGCGGAGACGAGGCAGATTCTGTTTATTTTTAATCATAATGCAATGCTGGGACAGCACATCTTAAATCAATCTGATAAAAGGATCAAAGGGACAACATGAGACAAAAATAGAATCGGTTCAAGGGCAGAAACTGCATGCGATATCAAAAGAAACAATCAAGAGCAGGGTACCTCAATGTGTCTTGGCTGGACATCCAGAATGTCTCTCTTGGTGGTGGACCAGGTGAAGGTGAGGCCAGGCACAGCATTGCCAAAGGAGAAGGGTGTTTGACTATTAGTCAGACCCATCACATATACGGGCATCTAGAAAAGGAAAAGAGAAGGTGGTTAGTGAGTACAATATTGCCCATAGAGAGAACTCAATTAACTGTCTTACAGTTAATTGCAGTGCTACTGCAAGAAGGAATTCTTAGGTTTGGGGTCATTTTCTACAAAATATTCCGACCTGTGCCCTTGTCTTCATTCTTGTAATAGGTGCTCTGATTCGAATGGCCGTCAATCGCACAACCTCAACTTCTACTTGATCCTGTGGACACATGATAATAAGCATTTTATTGTAAAATCTAACTGGGCGATACGCTAGTCCACATTACTATATCTACATATTTACCTGAGACACAACGACTAGTTTCCCAGTCTCGGCATCAACAGCCTGGACCAGTCCAGTCACAGTGACGTTACCAATGGTAGCACCCCTGACATGGCCAATGCCATTAACAGAAGCTACGTCCTCATTGGAAATAGAGAAAAGGATATTGGACTGAGGCTGAGGGCCACCCTCAGATGTGATCTATAGAGGACGGCAGGAAGGAAAAGAAGAAAGAAATGAGCATGACTCTTACATGACTGATCTTGACACACTGACAATTAAGACAACAGCTTTCATCAATACAAGGTCTGATAATAATGTGCTGAAAGACGTTATCCTTTATGTATTAAAAGTACTGGTGGATATCTGACACGACTAACGTGCAGTGCATGTGTATTACTGAGTTTAATGATCAGCAGTTAGGAGGCCTCTTGGATGGATGGTAAATGCTCTCAAATTAACGCACAAGTTGAGGAAAATGAAAGGCGAGCTGGATGTTTAAACCAAGAGCTATTAGGCTAAAATTATCTTCCAGAAGATTTCTGGCAGGAAGCTCTTTTGTAAGATAAACCGAGGACCAGATGAACTCTTCTGGCAAGACGAACTGAGGCCAGCTGTTTCCAGACAAAGCTTAAGAATCAATATTATACATACTTGCAGCATTGCTCCAATTAGCAGGGTAATTTTCCTTGGGATGAGTTTGAACGGTGGGAATACCTAAAAGTAAAAAGAAGAAAAACACGTTATATAAACATGTGTATGCAAGAGTCAAACTTGGAATTGACATTTTAGAAATTCACACTGAATTATTATACCTCAATTTGCTGAGGTGCAGATGCAATTTTTCTCCCATTTTTATCCACTACAACAGCTGATAGCGCGGTCTGACCAATAGAAGCACCTTTCACCACGAAAACAGCTGTATCAATTTCAGTGGACTCCACTAATATTCTGCAAAAGAACAAAAAACACATTTAGGAGTGTACATGAAGCCTCATCCTCAACCCAAACAACAGGTTTCACAATACTTACTTTAGAGAGACGATTGCAGAAGCTGCCTTGAGTTTAAGATTCATGAAACGGAAATAGCTGGCTGGGAAGGGCTTCTTATTATCGTCCAAGACTCTGACATAAGCTTTCACAGATTTGCCAATCTCCACCTGTAATACAGACGAATGGCATCATCCATTAGGGAAATAGTCCTTTTGGTTCACAGGCAGGGCAAAGCGAATGATGCTAACTCAAGACAGGCTTTTATGAAAATTGGGAAGGCATGTGCTAGAAGCAGACGATCATAGTGTTTAGACATCATTTTAGGAATGTGTGATACTGATAATAGGGATCATCTAACCCAGCTGTGGAAACGGGCCCTGAAACTCACCTTGTCAACGACTCTCACGTAAACTTCCAGGATGTCAGAAACGTGCACTGTGGCTTTGGCAGGTGCTGGAAATGCCAGACAAAGGTCATGAACCATCACCGTCACCTCCCCTGGGTGTACGGGAGAGACCTGGAAACACACAGCAAATCAAAGGGATCATTCAACTCAGAATCAATGGAGAAGTTTTGAGTAGTGGTGCACTTTAATCCTTAATCCCGATTGGTTTATGGATTAAAGTAGACCTTCATGGATTTACTGGAAATCCTTAGTATGATGTACAATATCATAATTATGTGTTCCCGTGAACATAGTTTTAATCTTACCCGAATCGAAGGTATAAAGACAACAGGTGTCGTAAACTGTACAGATTGTAAAGCCCCTTGAGGGAATTTGTGATATTGGGCTATCTAAATAAAATTTACTTGACTTATTTGTGAAATACATACAGTCTGAAATGTGTCGCGTGAGTTAGCTAGCTAGCTAGCTTGGCTAACGGTACTTTGAAAATGTGAGGCTTACAGTGTGGGCGGTGTGCAGACCTAGGGTTTAAAGTGAACCACTGTTTAAAAAAAAGAAAAGCTTTAGCTAGCAGAAACTAGCATTTGCTCTAGCACTATTTCCCCCCCGAATAAGTTCACTATTCAAGAAGGTACCAGTTTATATTGAAACTGTGCAAAAACTCAGAAGTTCCCAAGCTTGACATCCCTTGAAAATCTTTCGGAAATTGACCAGAAATGTCACGGCCCTTTGTAACCCTCGTCCAGATGTTGCGTCTTACCTGAGCTGTTCGTTGGGCCTCCTGGAATACCACGTTCGCTATCCCTTTAACACTGGTGTTGACAAAAAAGTGCCCGGATCCTTCTCGCAGGGCCAAGTTCGCCTGGAAAACGAAACACAATGAATTCCTTGTGACAAAGTAGAAAATCATTTGAAGACTAAAATGATTACATATTGTTGGGAGATTCAGAAAACCACCCCAGTTCACTGTCATTTCTTTTTCCTGACAGCCATGGCCTTGCATGAGACATCAAAGGGGACCTCTGACCACACTTGGTCTTTAAAATCCTCTTACACAGGTCACTAGCTGTTATTTAACCCCCACACCTGCCAAACACAGCTCCTATATCAGACAGGATTAGGAGAGGGAGGCCCACTGAGGGAGGAGGTACATAAGACTCCACGGTGCCCGGAGCAATGATTACCAACATTTGGATTCATTCAGTTGTGATTCAATTAATTTCCATTTATGCTCTGCTTGTAAAGTAATAAACTTTACGATGAAATATCAAATGCAGTTTTACTTTTAGTAAAACAAGCTCACGTCTCCGTCAGTTTTTACGCTTGCAGGGGTAAAGAGATGGTATGTACGTGATGCCTCAGCATTGATCAATGTGTCCCTTACCCGCACATCTGGGTGGTTGTATATGGTAACTATTTCAGGAGAAACAGTCACATCTTCAACCAATAGGAGCTCCAGAGTGGCTGAGACAGGCGTCAAGGTGACATACTGTACAGAAGAAGAAGGAGAGTTGAAAATGAATTAGTGTTATGGTTACAAATGTAAATATTATACCAACATACAATACAGTATGTTGGTTTTGTCAGATTATGAAGGCAAATCTGTGTGTATGAATGGAAAAAGGAAGTAAGATGAAGCCGGAACAGACCAAAAGAAGCTTAATTATCACTTGTAGGCGCATGTTTATTCAAAGAGGATTACTGCCCACTGACTCCAAACTACACATGTATTTAAACAGACATCATCTCTTTCACAGTCACATCTTCAGTCAATCAAAACAAAACTCACCCGACATTCATCTGACTGAGAGCAAAATGTTCACAGATCAACAGAGCATTATACAGATATTTTGAGTAACGTTCAGCTGCTTCTGCTTTTTAAAGGGAATGAGAAACTTTGACATCATCTTAGTGGTGGAGTCACTTACTGGACTGGGTACTTTGGCTGCTGCGAGATGTAAAACCTGGTAACCCAGAGCTGTCACCGTGATGGCAGCAATGCCTGTTTGATGATGGACAAGAACCGTCTGTCGCCCTGCCACGGATAACAGAAACAAAACAGCAATTAAAACACACAACAATCCAAACTTTTTGTCATCACTAATCTATAGAAACAGACAGCAAAAACAAAAAATGTATTCCCAGTAGTAAGTGAATGCATCATTCCCCGTCTGCCCCCGCTGTCTTAGAATGAAATCCTGCCTCAGCTTTCTCTCCGGCCTTTGCCTCATTACTTTCCTAAACAAAAGAGTTAAGTTTTGCCGACAACCCACTATCCAGTCACGATGCTTTACCGTGAAGCTTCATCTGTTTGTTGTCATCCTCGAACAGCTGCAGCTCCATGGGTAAATTGGGTTCAATACTGGCCAGCGACACCATGGTCGATTCCCACAAAATGCTCAGAGAGCTGAAGTTGTCGAACTTTCTTCCTTGTTGATCAAAAGCAGCCAAATCCAAAATGGGATTACGGTAATTTGAAACAGGTACCTAGAAAAAAAGGTGGCGTGATCAAAACATTCAGCTTCCATTCCAAAAAACACATTAATAATCACTCTCATCATTGAGTTATGGGTACTCCCTAACAATCTTACAGGAGCTTAAGTGTGTTCGTATTTTTTAAGTTCTTCAATGTACACTAAAGTGTTCAACAACACAAAGGCTCCGTAGCCTAAACCGAGACAGCAAACTTTATTACTCATTTCAACATCGACAAAGGCAGCGCAGACCAGATCCACTCCTTCCGTCATTACCTTTCACAATAAAAGCCCGGGACATATACTCTGTTCCACAGAGTGTTTACATTTCACTAAAAGGAAACTCAATAAAATAGCTTACAGTAGCTTAGGCTTTATACAACAGTTTAGCTCAGATAGATCTGCTCTGGGTCAATAGGATAGTTGGTCCTCTGCCTGCGTTAATCAATTGAATCCTTATTGAAATAGTGTTGCAACTCACTAATCTGCATCGCTGCCTGTATGAATATTTTCAGGTGAGTAGTTCGCACTCTCGTGTTGTTTATTCGTCACGCCTCTAGTGTGTAAAAGGCCTTCAGGCAGCAATGTGAAGCTAGTTGACCCCCGTGAAGGGACCGCATACACACCACTTGTTTGTTCTGCTGCAGCAGCGGGCAGGTCAGGTCCAGCTGTGGGCTGGAATAAACTGGGACCAGGGTGAGGCGAGACGGAGGGGCGCACACAAACTTCACCACCGCCGGCTCCACGGCAGGATAAGGGTTGGTCACGCTGACCTTGTTTCCCACCATCACCTCCAGCACCTGAAGAAAAACAAGACGACAACTGAAGCGGACAACTAAATACTATAGTCGTAACTATTGGGAGCCATCACAGTAATGCAGCAAGGACACGATCATGAATAACTATTGGTGGATTATAAAGACAGTATTTCAAGCTATTGCATTTATTCTCAAGGTGTAGGAAGTTATGAAATCTAACCGTGCAATTTAGGTGAAGGCTGAAGCTTATCATCCCCAAAAGGTTTACAAAAACAAAAGTCCAAAGATTTCACACAAAATATTAATAATCGCAGCTTTTTTTTTTTTTTTTATAAAATCGGCGTCATTTCCAAAGTCAACCACTTACTTTCAATTCCTTGGTTTAAACAAACCAATTCCCCTAAAGTCATACTTGCTCTTTCTAATTTCAAACAATCTCTGAATGCAGTTAGGATTTGTACATTATAAACTAGATCACAATATCTTACAGCATGCAGATTTCTCTCTTAACTTTTCTTTTCTGTGTCTGTGTGTGCACACGACCCAGAAGTCTCATACCCTGTTATGGGGGTCGGCATGGCCTTCACCTACGCTAATTAGGATCAACTGGCTCAAGCCTTCAATTTATGAGAACGATTGTATTTATCATTATAACACACGTTAGAACAATTCTGCGGTTTAAGATCATGTCGTTAGGACAATTGTCATAAACAAGAACAGACGTAGGAAGATTTTGGTGAGGGAGGCCCAATATGGTTTCATCAGATCTCACCTGCTCTCCCAGGGCCCTGCAGGTCGCTCTGACCCAGTGCTGGTTGTAGTTGTGAGATGAGGGACCAGTCGGAGTCAGGCTCACGCTGGCCTCATCCTCGGCGCTCAAGTGACAGAAGAACTTTGAGGGCTCTAAAACCCACGGCCGGGGCCCGCCCTCAAACAGCATGTCTTTAGAAGATCCCAGAGTCACCACGGCCACAGACACGGGGTCGATCGCCTGCCAAACAACATTATCTTATTATGAAATGTTGGAGCAGGACACTTTGGGAAAGAAATGCTTTTACAAATGTCAACAGATTTGGGGATCAAAATGTAAAAATGCAGAAAATAGATGTGCAAAATGTCATGGAGGGACATTTTGGAGACCAAAGGGAAAGATATCTCAGTCAAAAAAGGAAAGCAGGTATTTATGTACAGTATATCTGCTTGGACATTCTAGTGTTAAAGGGAACTTAACTGGGGAAATGTTCAGCTGAAATCCGCAGTATTTCACAGAAAAGCAACTAAATAGGGTCAACCTTTAGCTGCCAAGGCAAAACAAGTGAAGAAACAAAAAATATCTGCACTATTTTGAAGAATACTTCTCACTGCCATGATAAAAACATGACCTCAACAGTGGTGCATCAAACGGCATGTTACTGCACTGATAACCTGAATATAATATGCATGAAAATCACAGATATGGGGGGTTCAGGAGTGACAGAATGCTTCATGACAGAAGATCTGGTCAACTCATCATAATACACGTCATCAGTACCACAACAGTTGAAGTGATTTCTATTACTGCGCAGTGCTGGAGCCCAGGTGTAGGAAACAAATCAGTGTAGCGAGTGTACAATGCTTAATTAAAATGCAAAGAGGAAACCCAGGAGAAGATGTTTAATACCCGCTGATCATCGCATTCCTGCCTTGATTGTAAGGAGAGTCTGTGTGTATGAATGTGCATGAGTGAGTTTGTTTCCTTCAAAGAGAAAAAGCTAATTGGTATAAAAGCAAATCACAACAAAGACTTCAGGTAAAGTTTAAGATAATTACACACTGCAGCCTGGACAAAAGAAAAAGTGTAAAGTATTTTATTGAATAAACAACCGAAAAACTATCCACAAGGAAATTAATTCTGGAGGCCTTGAGAAATATGCAATAAGAGAGCAAAATGATTTGTTTTAAAAGTTCAAGATGAGCAAATAAACTGTTGGACTCACTCTGAGAGGAAGATAGGCAGCGATGGTGATCTTGACACTGAGATGAACGTTGCCGTGGGTGTAGCTCACAGTGAGTACGGTGTAGCCAGGGGCCAGGGCCTTGGCTCTCACCCCACTGCAGTGCTCCTGGCCGGGAGCCAGCCGCCCTGGATCAGGACAATGAGGGTCGGAGGAAGGCAAAGAGTGAGCAAGAATGCATTATGACAATGTACAAATAGCTCCAATAGTTCACTCAGGTGTACTCATTTGTCTTCCCTTCTTAAACCACACTGGAGTACAGAGAAGTATTGTTATATGTGCCAGCCCACGCTTCTGATTAATAATACAAGATTCCAAAACTAAAAACTGTGATTCTTGCTAACAGAAGAACTTTGAAAGAGATAAAACGTTGCAATGACAATCTGAAAGCCATGAAATCGTTAAAAGTTTCAGAGGGAGATGGAGAGGAACGTGCACATATAGTTTAGGTTTGTTCGGGTAACCGATTAATACAGATTTGTCTATAGGAGAATATAGTTTCTACAATTCTTCCTTCCATAATGTGAAACTGCAGTTGAAGGTGTGAACTGATGTTTTCCTCACACTTGTGCTTTCATGGGAAATTGTAGAGTTTAGGAAGATTACAATAATTATTTACATTTTCATAACCATTATTACTGCAATATCCCCCCCCCCCCCCAAACAACACACTCAGTAAGTAGGGCAGTAAACATGTTCAGTAGCAAAAGTGAGCAACATGATTACCCTCCTCACTTATGCTCACAACACATGCATGTTCAATTGGCCACAAGAGTCGTGATCAGTCATAACTCACATTGATTAACACTAAACAGATTGATCAATGAATGAGTGCCCTGAATGAGCATCCATTGGTTAGTGACCTTAACTAAATGCAAATCCATAATTGCAATCCATGAGTGAATTCACCCACAACACGGGATGACAGCAGACCAGCTGCTGAGAATACCGCATTCATGAAAATGTTGCTGCATCACAACATGGCCGCGTCAGATCAGCCGCACTCACCGTGTAGCAGTTGGAAGACGCCGTGGTTCTCCTCCTCAACATGCAGGGCGAATTGGGAGCAGTCGCTCAACATGACCCGCTCCTTCTCCACTTCCCCCAGGAGGCCGAAAATCCTGAGGGGCAGGTCCAGAACCAGGCCCACCCGGGCCTCGACTGGGCAAGGAGCGAAGTCCATGGCGACGGGCTCGACCACATACACCTGAGAGAAGAAGAGGGATGAGAGAGATTTAGATGGAGGGCTGGGAATGAGAGGAAAATGTAAATGTAAATCCCTTGGACCTATTTTTGTAGTAATCACTTTGAGAGTTTGAATGTTTAATCTTAAATATTTATAAGTGGATTGTGTGATGGATGAACACTTTACTCAAACTACTGTGCGTTAACGTGCTGAAGTGTAGTTTTGTTTCCTGAAATTTCGACACTTATCATGAACTATAAAAACCAGTGATCAAAGTAATCAGGATTATTATACGGCCATATTAGTTTTTTAACAGGTGTGTTGTTTCACAGGTCAACTTACCTTCATCTGGCCAAAGTGAAGCGAGTTGCGTAGATCATGAGCATAAACGGCACTGACGCCGATGTCGCTCACTGTTGTCATCACTCCTTTCACGGTCACTGTGGCCACAGCTGTGCTGGAGGAAGACCAGCTGAAATTTCCACTTCCTCCTGTCGCCTGCCACAAGCACCAGGAAAGAGAAGTCATCACATGCACCAGAAATACACCTCTCAGTGGTAAAAAACATTCATTTAGAGCTTTATGGCAAAGTATGAATATGAACAATAGCTAAAAACAAATTAAAAAAGGTGTCATGTGCTCAACGACAGATTAAAACCCCATTCAGGCACCAGGTTTTCATCCTGAAAAGGACTAATTACCTGTATTGTGTACTGATAAGCTCCAACCTTGGGCTGCCATGGAAATGTTAGAATACTGGGACTAAGAACTATAGGGTTGTAGATTTCTACATCCTGTTCATTGTGCACCGGGTTGGCGAGTGCATGGATCCTTCCAGTCTGAAACAGAGCAGAGGCCAACAGGAAATGATCCAAGAAAAGAAGCAGGAGGTAAACGCTCCAGCTCATTCAGACTGAAAAAGGTCAACGCTCCAAGTAAACTCACTTCATCCACAACAGCTTTGAGGGTTGCATCAATCAGAGTCAGGCCTTCTTTAAGCGCTTTGACCCGATGATACGACCCATTCACAGAAGACTCCAGGAGCTCCAGGTACTCGGAGGGGAAACCAGTGTCAATACGGACATTCTGCAGAAAATCAAGCACGCAGGTTATTAAACTACCTTTGTAGGACTCGAGAATAGAAGCAAGGCGTCAAAACTTTTACAGACTCAGGAGATATTTCTTAATGTCTATCAAGATTTTGATTTGTTTATACTTCAATGGTGACAGTTCTCTCATCACAGTTTTGAAATATTAGCTAAAAAAACTCATAGGTTGACAAAGGAAGGCTCAAAGTGCCCTAAATCTCTCTTTCTAATGTCTCCCAGATGTGTTTCAAAGATGTTAGTTTCCCACTATATAGGAACTAGGAAGATCCTATACAAAAAACTCTGTTATCTGAGCAACGCCACTGATAAAAACAAACCAGGCCAGACTTTATCTCAGATGAACACTCATTTGCATACAGCATGCATACAGATGTACAATTAAATGATTTAACACACAACAGTGACTTAACGGAAGCACACTTACATCAGACACGTGAATTTTGTTGCCGGATTTATCAAAGACTTCGATCAGGACATCATAAACTCTGCCTGTCTCCAGAACCCAGCTGTCTCCTGGATGAATTTTGAAACCTAAAAGTGAAATTACAATGAAAACAGAGGTTAGCTACATCTTTAAATAAACACTATGAAATACTTCCATCGTGTTTTCAATAGTAAGAGCCAGGAACAGACCTAGGTAGCCTGGTTCAACCACGTACAGAGTGCTGTTGGGCAGGCGAGACACTCCTTGCATCCGAAGGCCTAAGTAGATGCTGCTAAGGAAAGTTAGCATTGGACCATTGACGATGGTGGCTCTAAGCTTCTTGACTTTTGACAAATGCAGAATACTTCTCTTAGTACTTCTCCACTTCCACACAGATAAAAAACAAGATTCGCTGGTAAGTGCAGGACATTATTCACATTATACTGCCCCTCCCATTTTGTTTACTTCCGCTTCGAACGCAACTGTATTCGTTCTTCCAGTTTAGCGCTTGCAGCGTTGTAAATCAATGAATGCTATTTGGGAAAATGCAGCAGCTACACCGCTGCGATCGGATGGTTTGACACTACCACATCCATCAGCAATCATTGGCTGGGAGGACCACGTGTGGAAAATTGCCTGAAATCACATCCGAGGACATTTTTAATAACCACGGAATGTCTCTTGGTATAGATGGATCCTCTACAAGGAACCGAAGCTTATCGCTACACCCTCCAGTCGGAATCGGCATACAAAAACACATGTCAAGAGTGTTCTTGTAATTACTCTCACTGCCAGAAGGGTGACAGAGGTCTGCACAGAGTTTCATAAATACTACCTCACCTCCAGAGTGAATCAAACCAACCTGTCTGTCAGCTGGCCGGCTATCGCCAATATGTAATTCTTGATTGTTTTTCTTTTTAATACCCCATGGTTAAACATGCAGGGCAGTGAGAGTAATTACAAAACCACTGTTGATGTTCTTTTTGTATGCTGACCAGCTCCTCACAGCTCCAAAACAATCTGTGTAAATTTCCAAATAGGTGTTATTTGGATAAACTAATCACATATTGGGAATCTAAACAGTTACTTTCTCACCTTAAAAATGATTCAAATCAAATAAACAGTTTTTGGCTAATAAAAAAGGAAAATACGTTCAGCAAAGTAATCGCACTTCTGCTCTAAAATGGAAGTAAGATTATAAAATGAAGCAAAGAGGAAGCAGCCTGGTTCAGGCACTGAATAAGGTGAATAGCATCATAATAACAGCTACAGAGTGAGACTTGTCAGAAGGATACTCTTGTGATCCAGCAACACGTTGATGTGTCCAAGCTGAATTGCTGTAACTGTGGAGATACTTTGATCCAGACTGGCCACAGCAACGTCTGGGTTTCCATCAGTGCCAATCACACTGTTCTGAACGTGCAGTTCATACTGATCACAAGGCATCGAGAGCTCTGGACAAACACAACACGGGAATTAAACTGGTGCTCGAACGTTACCGGCTGTGAGTTTGCGTTAGAAACGGTACAGTAGCTATCGTAAAAGTCAAAATAATGGATTTAACTCCTCAGGAAACCGAGTCAGACCTGTGATCGTGCCCTGTCGTATCTTTAGGACTTTGTATCGGATGGAAGTTCCCGCCAGCAGGTAGACGTCATACGCAGGACTCAGCAGGATGTTCTCTAAAATCAAGAGTCTGACTTCTGCGGCGCCCACATCCTGTGGCACATTTACCATCGTTACAGAACAACAGCGCTTCAGCTTCCCGCCTTAACAAACCACAACACGCTGCCTGCAGTGTTCAATAATATAAATATATATATCAAACTTATACATTTAAAAATGGCAAGTGGCTCTTGGTTATTTCTTCAATATTCTATATAATATTACTAAAAATAACCTTTTGTTATCGGGATAATTTCTCAGGTAAAAAGTTAGCTTGATGACAACAATGGAGGCTAAAACTACTGCCGTGACATCATACATTAGGAAGGACTCATTACTAGCATGCAATATTTTGCTAATTTAGACGCCCGCTTGTCAGTACATAAGCTGTCACAGAGAGAGGGCACAAGCTAACTCATGACTGTGGAAATAAAGTGGATTATTTAAACAGTCAAGACATGCATCTTTTGCTTACCTTATACAATGACTCTTCTAATTTGGCCTTCAATTTAGCGTGTCCTGTTTTCTGTCCAGATACCAAAATAATATCGCCCTGTTTCCCGACACGCTCCATTTCAGATATGTGTCCAGGGGGTGTGTAGGTGGACTCTGAGAATTTAAGTACCCTTCAGTAGAGAAAAGAGACGCATCAGGACATACGTTTGAGACTGAACTCAGTACGGCACCTCGCATCTGACCTCAAAAGTGATTTGATTTCAGAGAAAGAGAAGCAAAGAAGTATCATCACACTACTTATCGGTGGAGTTTGAATGCAGTATTAAGACGGGGGGGGGGGAGCCTACCGTAATGAATTGTAAGAGTCAGAGAATCCATTCACATCTACATCTTTCACTAAGGTCCAGTCAAACACCAGACCAGCAAGGGTGCTGAAGGTGTTTCCTGCAACATAAAAAAAGGAAAAAGAGTCAGACCTGCTGTTTCTTTAACTCACAACTTTAAATCCAAACACATGTGAGCTTTGGTGAGGAGCACAACATCTTTGCACAGACCTTTCCACTTGTGCTATATGACCGAGGTCACTATACTTGAATGTATAATGGGTCGGGAGCACAATTGTCTGCGAGCTCCCGGCAGTCGAATTAGCTGCGACGAAACCAAAAGGCATTTCATTACAGGATACTTGCCGTCCTTTTTGCAATCTACTCCATCTGAAGAATCCCAAATGCACTTTTGGGCCGAAGCAAACTAAAACACAACAACAGGCCCTGGAGCCATCATCAGAAAGAGTCGGGCTGTAGCTGCAGCTCATTAAACTAAGTGTGTCTGCCTTAAATGGAACCAGTCCATTTAAGACAGAACTAACACAGCCACCTCACAGTAGCAGCCGAGAGCCAGCTCAGTCATTTCTCTGAGAAGTCTTTAGAGCAGCAGGTAAACAATACAGCATGGACATGTTGCAACAGGAGCACGGAGTAATATTGCAGGTACTGATGTAAATTATTGTTAATAGCCTGAGGGTGATATCTATCAATACTACCAGCAGCAGCATATAATGACAACCACTTAGTCCTGTGATGAGTCAGTATATGTCACCTTCAGAGTCCAGTGCATGGATTTTGAGTGCCAGTGGTGAGTCCTCGAGGTGCAGCTCTCTGGTGGTCGACACTATCTGGATATCACTGATGATGTCGACAATGGCGTCACACCGCAGTACATGTCCGGTAACTGCAAATGAATGGGGGGGGGGGGGGCAAAGCATCATATACAGAACACATACTGTATTTGTCACCAAACCAAGAAATTCTCAAAAATAAATGGCTTGGTGGTTAAAAAAAGGAGGAAAATTATTTGTTGTTGAGGCACAAAGCGGAACAATGTTTTATGCACATACTCTGATCTGGAAAAGGCAACGGAGAGCGAGAGCTTTGAAGCATCCTCTGCTTCGGGCACACCGCTCTACTGATAACAGTCAAAATCTTCTGGTCGGCTAAGTGGGCCGTTGCATGAGCGATAGATTATATCAGATTACATTTTGGTTAACCTTTAAACCAGTGGAGCGATGTTAGGCCACATTCAAAGTCAGCGATTGTGATCTGAACAGATAGTACATTAAATAAACTAGACAAAGTAAGACTAAGAGACATTTAACATGTACGGGCCAATGTGTCTGATTTTCCTTATTCCAAAGTAAATGCTCACAACTGCCATCGATGACTGGCCAACAGTGCCACAGGCAACAGATGACATCCAGCATTACACAACAGAGAGGAAGGAAGAATGAAAAAGTGTTGTGCAACAGAATGACCATTAGAATTCCTACTCTGAAGGGAATAAGAGCACAGACAAATATCACACCGTGTACTTAAATGTTATACCCTACATACTGTACCACGTTCGTTGGCTTTACCTACAGTAATAATAGCTTTTATTAATCCTTTATGTATTCTTGTAAAACACTTAACAGACTAGGCTTATGTGATGCTGCTCACGGCCTTCATTTTCATCTCAACTACACACCTGCAAAGTTTCGTGACTGCATCTTTGACAAAATCTGTCCACAGACAAACAGACATATGAGCACCTGGCAAAGTACTCAAAACCGCGACACACAGACGCACAACGTGAAAGCCATACCTGCCGTATATTATATATATATATTATTGTATAGAGGAGAGTGCTGCCGTGCACTCCCCTCTGTACAATAATGAATCACAACAATTTGTGGTAGTGATCGTTCATTCAGCTCGTAAAAATATGATAAAGAACATTTTATTAGTACTGATCTAAGTGCACTATTGACTTCAGATGCTCTGCTTTTGCACCATCTTGATCATAGTGCAAAACATGCATTTTTCAGAGAGCAAATCAACTGAGCACTGTGCATTCTCAGCATAACAAAAACACGAAAACCTGAACATGACAAAATCCTTTCCAGTGTATTTCCACTTAGGGACCTAGCATACACGCATGTCTGGAAATATTTCTGTCCACCTTTAATCTATATCCACTGATCCATTTACCCCCCCCCCCCCCCCAAAAGGGAACTTACAAAAAATACAACTGGACCAAATATGCACAAATTAATTCCCTAACTCTTGAGGTAGCTACTTGTGTTTACTAAGCAACCATGTATTTACCAACATCTTCGGCCAGAATGATGCTAGTCAGCCTGGAGGGATGGGTGGAGAGAGCCTGGAGAACAGCTCTCCTGGAGCAGCCTCTGCCGCTCTCTTCATCCACAGCCTGGATGCTGGCTACCTCTGGTCTGGTGGAAGACCTGGATGAGTACAACCAGAACAAATATATATATGTAGGTTATGCAAATAAGTGGAGTAGCAGTATAGCTCTTGGAGGGTTTCAGCTTCACTGTAAACATGGAGGTGTTAAAAGGTGAACACAAGAACAGCTAAGAGAAAGAAATCCAGGGTTAAGTTGTTTTAGCACACAGAGCCATGAACTGTGTAGTACAGTTATACTGTTTAAGTGTGCCATGTGGCCTCACATAGCCCGTGTAATATGACACTACTCCACAAAGCATGGCCTCAGCTCACCCTCCTCAGTTTAATGTTCTACTCACCATCTGTAGCAACCTTCAGTAGTTTCCAACGTGAAGTTAATTCTTGTACTTCTGGCGAGCGGTAGCAGCACTTTGGGAATATTTAGTTTCGAGGAACCGTTAACTCGAATAACGGTTATTATTAATAACAGCAAAGCCGACAACGCCGATAGTTTTAGCGAAATCATTTCCGTTTCATGAGATAAGCGGAGATTTATTTGGCAGCGATTGTAACGGTCGAATGAATGAATGAACGCTGAGTTTATCTACTAGCTAAACTTCTTCCTCCGTCATATTAAGTACGATGTTAGTGCAGTAGGAGTGGGTTTGTGGCTCTGAGACAGCTAACATCGCTACTGTAGCTATTTCAAACACACGCTGTTGGCTTCCTGCTCAGTTTCAGTTTGTGTCAATTGACAACGGACAGGAGGCACATGACGATAACAGTTAAGCTAACGTTACAATGTTCCTCAGTCCTCCCAATTCAGCTCCTTCCGCTTTGTTCATCCACGAAGAAACAAACAGCGACAGTTATTTTAAGTCCCCACGTTTTATATTACTGTAAACAGTTAGCAAACAATAACTTAAATATATATACACATACAAATACCCGCCATTAACAATAATTGGACTTTCAGTGGACATGCGGGAGTGTGTGAACGTCATAGACAGGACGGCAACGTGGAGGATGACGCTCTTTCTTAAAGGTACAGTGTGGGGGTTTCAGAATCAGAATCAGAACCGTTTATTTGCCACGGTATGTTGCACATACAAGGAATTTGACATGGTGGGCGGTGCATAAGGTTAAACAATCAACAACAATCAACATAGTGCAAAAAATAGAAACATATTAAAATGTACAATAAAATATAGTGCACAAACAAACAGATAACAGTACTATAAACAAGTATAATGTAAGTGTAATGTTTCTTTCGACAACTGATTTGAATTTAACTGAACTGAATTGAATGGGATCAAATGGAATAGAAATGAATGGAAGCACCCCACACTGTAATCATGGATTACCAAATAGTCCAGAAAAGCGCACCCCAGAGGAAAGTTCCTTGTTTGGTTTGTGGTGATTTAATTAATTGCCCATTTGTTTTTGTGAATATGCACCAATAAACTACAAAATTGACTGAAATGATATGAAATGAAATTAATATTTTTCATTATTTAAAGCAATGTTGGGCTTTTCGTTTTACATGATGATGACATGATATGCAGGCTACACAACGTGATTGTGGTTGTGATCCCCAGATACTGTCAAGCAGCATCTGCTGGCACACCAAGGTCATCCATTTAGCCATCCATTATCTTTTCTGCTTACCCGGGGCCGGGTCACTTAGCAGGATATTCCAGACGTCTCTCTCTCTCTCTCCTGCAACGTTTTCTAGCTCCTCCTGGGGAACCCTGAGGCCACCTTCTAGATCAGCAACCTTAAATGTCACTTACAGCCCTGTCGAAGCAATGCCAGTTACATGTATACAATACAATCCAAAACAAAAGCCCTTTAAATGTATCCAATCAGCTTAAAGTTTCTATTGACTCTGTGTCAAAGGCACGTGTGTTCATTTCTAATGTTGTATATTGAGAGTCTGGAGTGGTGGATACAATTTTTAACACCATAATGCAATCAAATATGACACCAGTATCAATGGTTGACGAATGACCATGGAGTTGAACTAACACGGGAAAAGAAAAAAAGTTTTTGTTGAGTCACAAAGTGATAACTTTAACTGTTTGGCCAATCCTTTAACACTCAGCCAATAGATCTACCTCTCCGTCAACTCTGGCCACGTAAGATAAATGAAAGCCATTAGGAAATCAAACATTAGCCTGCCCTTCTACACAAGAAATCTCCACTCTGCATTGTGAATGAATAATAAGTGCACGCCATTTAGAAGTTGGCTGCCACAAGTATTTGAATAAGTCTTGTATAGTATGATTGATTCTGTGTTGCTTTATATCAAACTATATATCAATCTGAATAAGCAGAACAGGACAGACCATCATGAACGTCTGGCTGCCAATCATTCTTGCATTTTATTTTTTAGATGCACCCACAGTCTGGCTGTCTGGCTCTTCAGCAGTATGTCAAGAACATGCAATGTACACCTTTTCACCTCTAGGTGTCACTGACAGCTATACTAGTATATTATTTTCTACCAGACATGGATGACAGCAAGGAGTACGGGACAAGTTCATTTTATGAGATATGGGTGAAAAAGGGAAATACCATTAGTGTCCTTTAAACAATGCAACATTTAACAAAATAACACTGGTTGAAAAGACTATGTCTGTGCAAAATGTTTGACAGTGTAATCAAGAGCCAAACTCTAAGAACATCTAAAAACCAAATTCCCCCTTCGTCTGTTTGTGTGTGAGATCATGTTCTGGCGTTAAAATTGGTCCTGAGATGGAACATGAATTGTTACCAGAATGTTAATTATACATTCTGAGTTGGCTGCAGTATTTTTGATCCATCCTCTCACCGGCTTTGAAGTTACTGTGGCAGTGCCCCTCCTGGTTTGTGCCTCTTGTTTTTACAGACACAGAGAGATGAGCAAATACACTGTGGTAATGCTGCGCTGTGCCAAAGGTGACATATTGTTTGAGTCAGAGTGCGTTAGCCATGAAAGCACGTCACTAACTGGTGCTTTGTTCCAATTGTCTTTAAATGGCAACCACATAGTTACAACTGCAGCAACCTAAACATATGATATACTGAACTGTATATTCAAAGTGTAAGGCAGCATGGTCTAAAAGTGACAGCCGCTCCAACTTAGTCCGACTTCCTCGGGCTATTTTGGGTTGAAGTAAAATGACGTATCTTTCCTCAGTACAATGATGGCGGTTGAGAATGAAACCCGAGAAGACAGCACAACTTTCATTCATTTTGGCAAAGCCGCTCCATGTGGGCTTCGGTCCTACATTTGTTTTCATCTTTGCACCCGATCCATGGGCAGTGCACGTACAATTGATGTCAGGAGTGAATGATGTAATGTCTGAGAACATGGAAAACAATACCTGAACGTCACGCTCTGAGTCTCTAGCTCTGCACATGGAGGCCCATGTCTAGACAACACAAAGTGCAGCACCAGACTGAACTCATTCAAAGGGCAGGAGTTATTGTAATGTAAAGTTGTTTCTGGGCCTTGGATGGATCTTAATGTGATTTCCTATAAGTCCAAATCTGACAGGCACGAAGTTCAGCAACCGTTAACTATATCCGATAAAAAAGGGGAAGTTCTCATTGTTGGAAATAATTATCTTTAAATTGTCTAAATGTGTTTTCGGTGAGTCAAACATTCAGAAGCTTTAAAACTTACTGATAGTTTCCAATGCATATAATTATATTGGGCAATGGTGCTGCATTATATACCACACCTGAAACCATCAAAGACTTTCACCTCTAAAAAAAGCATGCAGCGATACCCCCATATGTTGCACATAAAATATTTTTCCTCTGTCACAAATGGCTGCAGCTGCTTTAAAATTCCGCTCGAGTTATCTGGCATGCATCAGTAGTCACGTCCTTCCTGGTGTGAAGTCGGGAACCTTTCTCGGCCACCATGCTTCGCTTGGTCCAAACAAATGGTTGCAGAGAGGCAATGGCACTTACTTTAACTCGTACTCAATGGCAGTGTTCTCAGCTGGTGTCACCAGAAATGTACTCGGCTGTGGGTGGGGGGGGGGTTCACTGCTTCAAATAGTTTGGGAAGTACACAGCTTCACCAACTATAGGTGTGCGGTGCAGTAAAAACAGCCTGCAGGGAGGCATAAAATAAGGTGTTGCTATCCAGTGAAATCAGCTTTTGCCTCTGGGAGCAATTTTGTGTGTTCCAAAAAATGTGAAAAAATGTCAAGGAGGTGGGACGAGCTCCAATGATAACCACTGTACAACTCTGTGTGGGATAAGACTGAGGATGTCCAGAGGGTCTTGACTCTGCAGTTTTTCTCAGCAATCTAAGAACTAGATGTTATTTTTTGCATCAATTATAAGGAAATATATATTAACATCTTACACCTTTTCACTTTCAGATCATCCTGGTCTAGGGCAGTTCTACAGAGCTGTGCTTTTATTGTTGAATCCCTTTACACAGTCTTTACTATGTGCTGTAAATTCCCTTGCCATTTCCATGGTGTGGGCTTTAGGGGGATGTAGCTGAGTGGGTTTGCACTTGCAGCTCTCTGCATTCATGATCACGGACAATGGAGGTGTAATCTTGCCAAAGTGCTTCCACGTGCTCGACAGCTACTTTTTATTCACAACCTAAATAGATTTATTTCTCATTTAAATTCACATCAATCCAAATTATATTAGAAAATAGCCCACTTGAGACTAGTTTATGACATTAGATGGTTTGAACTACCTCTTAACATGCATGTTATTGATATCGCAGCACGTTTAAATGTGTTAAATGTTCAATGGAGAAGTAAAATGGAGCTGAGACCACATGCTGCTGTATGCTGTGGTGCAGACATGCCATTTAACTACAGCCTGGAAAGTCTTTACAAGACACAGGTGGGGAGTCACTTTCGCCACATTACATTTAGCTCCTAATTTCTCGTGGTCTAGCCCCCCCCCCCCCCCCACACACACACACACACACACACACCCGCAGAGCCACAGTGCCCTTTCTTTGCTGGTTACTTTAAAGACTTCCTCTCTCCACTTAATCTTAGACCTGCATAAGCGTGTCGATGGAGAACATGTTTGAGAAGCTACAACACTAATTGTTCATTTACCACATGTGACACTTTGTGTACTTGTTTCTGGTATTCTTGCGTAATTCCTAATTCTGTAATGGGATGATCTATCAATTCAGATCACCCCACTAAAACTCTCTGGCCTAACAATGGTTACAACAAACACTACGAGGCTCTACCCACCTGTTTAAACAACAGCAGAAGATCAGGACAATGTATCACACAATGGACAGATAACATTAACTGCTGCTGCATTAGGGGGCCCAAGTAGACAATGATGTCACCGCCACTGGCATCAGTTTCAATGAAAACCGTGAAGAATATTAAAGCTATCGTCAGAAGAACTGAGGCAACGGTGACTTCACTCTCCTCGGAGAACAAATGATAAACACGGTGTATTAAACTTTAAACTTTAATTCAATATTCGTATGAAACGGACAAAGTGCCCATTAGGCTACATCATTACGAGGCAGGGTTGCAGTCAGTGGGCTTTGGCAATTAGTAGTGGCATAAGTCACCATTCAAACATGCATGAATGAGAAAATACAACAGAGTGGGGTGCAATTACCTTCTCCCAAATCGGTGCGTGTCAGATGACATTATCTCGCAGGCTGAGAGACATTACTGGACTGAGGCTTTCCGGCCCCAGAAGAGTGAGGAGAGGTTAACTACTGTGGGAGGAACAGGTCATTTTGGTCCCTCACTGTGACATGAGGACATCTCTCTGGAGTCAGGGGGACCTCAAATGTTCTAAAGACATGAGGCATTTAGGGATTCATCTCTATTCAACCAACAGGTATATTTTGTGACAGAGATGATTTATTTTCATGTAGATACTGTTGAAAGTGAACAATGAGAGCGAAGTTGGCACAAGGAATAACTTCTGAAGTAGCATTTGGAAGAAAACAGGACAATGTATTGCGACAGGCATGTCACCGCAGGTGGCCATGGGCAAATATATGTAACCTTGTACAATATCTGCAGAATAAAGTAAAATGTGATTTCCTTTGATGGTGTATTTACTTGCCTACTATTCTGAGGGTCAGGTTGGTTGTGTTTTAGGCTCCACATCAGGACGGGGCTGCACAGAAGAGTGACAACAGCTCTCCTGGGGGATGAGCCAGCTCCAGGGACACTGAGCTCATGTGTCCAGGTTATCAATGAGCATATGAGCGGGTCGATTGGGAATTGAACACGTGTCTCTTGTAAGGGTATAACACCGACTGCGGTAACAGTGGAAAAATCAGTACAGCTTTTGTTGAATGTGTATAAATATATATGTGATCACGTAGACTTGGAGTGGTTATATACATCCGTTCAATCCATGCGCTAATAATGAGTCACAACGGTACAAAAAGGAGAGTCATTCTTAACCTGAATTGTGAATTAGATGAGAGATGAACACGTTACTCAATCGGGAGAGACGTTCATGAGCATCTAGGGGGTCTTCAGAGTGTGTGACTGGTGCAGCTGCGCATGCATTTGATTCTAATGAACAGAGAAAACTAATTATAGGGCCACTGACTCATCGCTGTCACTGATTAGTCAAGGGAGACCCCTGAGACAAAGTGATCAATGGCCCCAGTACCCCGTGTGCCTGATCAGTCAATTCATGAGGGAGCTTTTGTCTATATTTATTAGTGACTCAGTGATCCTGAAGATCAAACTGGATGAGATGTCAAAAAGATTAAATTCACTGCAGTCTTTTTAGGACAGACCCTTGTGCCATGCAGTATATCACATTCCAGTAATTACAGCTAATACAATTAGCCTATCCATAAAGCTCTGCTGACAAAGATCACAAACATCATGTGATGTTTGTATGAGCTTGATGTATTTATCAGCGTGGCTTCTCCAGGAGTAAATTGCATATCAGTCAATAATTTGGCACCTAATTAATTGGAAGCTGTGTATCTATACTGTTAAACATCAATATTTGTGAACACGCACAAATGTACATAAACGTTACAATTCTGTCACTTGAATGCCATTGTAACATAATTATAAGATTATATTACCAGAGAGGCACCATTATGTCTTCTGATCATGATATTCTTCTTCACAGCTATTAACTTTGAGAGCATGACAATTATAGTGACGACACAATTTCCACTGACTCGCTGTTAAGTCATTTCCCGTATTTCGGATGATTGTTGATGCAGAAAATGAGAACAGAAGTATTTTCGAAAGTTGGAAATAATTCTGTGGAAGTTTGTCCCGCCCTCCCCCCACCCCCCCCACACACACACACAAAAGGGGGGAGGGAGGGCGCTCCCAGCCTCCAAAGTCGGAGTCAGGGCACAAACTTTACGCACAAGTTTCCTTTAGGAGCACAGCAGCGCCGCAAGGTCAGAGACGCAAGGTAGGCAACGTGATTTCTATGGATAAAAACAATCGATATTAATGCACAATTTGATTTGTTGATAATTTCCACTGGACAACATGTGAACGTAAGGGAGAAATATTTAGATATGGGATCAATCATATTTGCAGTGTTTGATATTTGCTTGAGAGGTTCTTTCTTGTTGCCAAAATAATATACGGTTCCTGGATATATTATAATACGCACTTTATTTGTCCTACATGCTTTTATCTAATGTGTGCCTTATGACTGTTAAAGTCCACATGTTGATTTCGGCTTCTGTAACACGATGAGAAACAAAGCAGATGGTTTGATCGCCACAACTGTTGCTGAAGTATCCAATTCGACAGCGAGCTCGTGCACTTTCAAACACGCGAGTCATTCTTTTTTAATTTATTATCCTTCACTGGAATATTTTGGTATCAGCGTGTCCTCTCGTTCAGGAATCCAGAGTTGCGTGAAAACAGTATTTGCACGTGCGTGTGCGCGCGCGATTCACAGTGAGCAAGAAAAAAAAGGATAAAGGTCATTTTTTGGCTACTGGGATGACAAGGCACACAGTCGCTGTTTGAAATGCTTTGTGGGACATTGCCTGAGCTGATAGCTGAACGAACAACCCAACAGACTAACTTCTCATTCACAAAACAGCCCCATCAAGGTATTTAGAGGCAGATGAGTTTCATTCTCAGTCCATCAGATTTCATTATCACCAAGTGGCCTTTTTTTTCTCCATGTGGTGAATTTCCCCTTTCACTCTGAATGTTGTAGACAAACAGAGCTCGACAGAGTTCCACTCAGCATGGCAGTGGGCCATGTGCCTGTTAAAGACCGAAGGATCTGGTGAAATGATTTTGTACCTGCAGAGACACAAAGACATCATTGATACTCTAACAGAGCTGCAGTGCACTTTTGTTTGGAGCCCGACTTAGGAGGGAAGAGAAGGTACAGTGTTTATTTTGGAAGACCCCTACTTTTTATATTATTTTCAAAGATGCACTGCATGTTTTGCTCAGCACACTATAATTGGATCCAGTGTGCACACAGTCAGGTAAAATAACCAGGTTCCTGCATGTCTTTTTATTTTTTTAAAAGATCAGGAGTTATAAGTCATACTGGCATCTGGAGCTCCATAATTCCAAGAAAGCAAGTGTAGGCAGCTTCAGTTGGAGGGAAAAGGTAATCTGTAAACATCTCTTATCCATTTCTTTCTGTTGCTGCTCCTCTTTTGGGAATCTATTCCAAGGACATGCAGTTTGGGGGAAATGTGATAATTGTTGAGAAAGATTTCAGCAGAAAATGTCTTGAGAGAAGTTTGTCATGCAGAACGATTTTGAGTTTAAACCAGACTCTTTAGACTTGTTTTAGCAATAAATGTCACATAAGCCTCTGGCAACTGACACAAAAGCAAGCGGGGAAAAACAGGAAAAGTGAAATAGAAAACACCTGGTTCTCAATATGCTCCCTGATTTGAAGTCACCTCACTGTCTCACAGGATCAAGCCTGTCAAATTCTGACTTTGTGCTGCCACTCTGTCCCTGTGCAGTTTGACGCACAACGAAAAGCTACAGTAACCTCATCAAATCCATTCATACTTTACATGAATTTATTCATTACAATATGTAATTTTGTTATAACAGTACTTCTTCTAGTTCTCTAGTTTGTTTATCACGTTATCCTTGCAAGAGCACGGTTTGCACACTCCACAGCTGTTATAGGCAGCAATGAACAATGGACTCAAATGATTACAGAGTATTTGCACAACATCCCCACCATATTCCTGCAAAACATTTTATGAGAATACACTAACATATGCTGCAAAAAGATAACTCAGATAAGCAGTCCTGTAGCACATTGTTTTTGTATAACAAACTATAACATTGTCATAGACGAGAGGTTTTGTTGTTTCAGCCTCGTTTTTTTTCTTAATTTTTGTTGGATTACTTTTGTACATATTTCTCTCAGTCAGTCTTATACCTTTGGCCACATTTCCATGTGCAATCAAATATAAACCACAGCTTCCATCCCCTGCTGTGGTGCCAAACAAGTGGGCATGGAAAAATTAACATTTGGCAGGTGGCCAAATTAAAGCAGACATGGTTATTAAGTTAAAATATAGTGTTTTTGAGCTGTGAAAATGAACCAAAAATAATAGGATTGTTATCAAGTTGAATGTCAGACATTTGTACTGTAAATATATTAACCACTGTTTACTCTCACAGGCTAAAAGACACAAAATTATTTCTCATCTGGAATAAAATCAAGCCTGAAGAGACTCTTACTTTTCTTTCTTTTTCTTGTACTTTTTTGTGCAAAATGAACATTCAGACGGCCAGATTGTTTTTAAGTTGGCTGATTCTGTGCATGGACACCTGTCTAAGCCAGAAAGACTGCGCAGGTGTGGACTGTCCCGTTCTGCAGGGCTGCATCGGAACGGTTTTAGAGAAGGGTACCTGCTGCCCCACCTGTACTCAAAGGGGCTGCACCTGTGAGGGCTACCAGTACTATGACTGTGTCCGAGCAGGCTTCCGGAAAGGGAAAGTCCCAGAGGGGGAAGCTTACTTTGTGGATTTTGGAAGCACTGAATGCGTCTGTCCTCTGGGAGGTGGGAAGATAAGCTGTAATTTTATTCCGTGCCCTGAAATTCCCCCCAACTGCATTGAAATTGTACAGCCTGCAGATGGGTGTCAGCAATGTGGGCAAATTGGCTGTACCCATGGCAGCAAGAAGTACGATGCGGGACACTCCTTTCAGAAGGACCAGTGTCAGGTTTGCCACTGTCCAAATGATGGTGGACGGGTAACGTGTTCACCTATCCCCGGCTGTGACCTTCGTAGTTCTAATAAGCCGACCACTGAGAACAACAACCCTTTGAGAGACATTAGCAGCCGTCATAACAGCCGACAAATGACTCCCGGAGAACAGTTCTCCGAGCTTGCACTGGGAAACACTTTACCTCTGTATAAGCCGGACCCACCCAGTTTTGGCACAGGGGATTATGACCACACACTGGAAGGGCCCACATCTTCCACTATCCAAGATCTGGCCCAACCACTGGAATCTACTACAGCACCACCAAATTACCCAGCGGCAAGCTCCACTTCCCTCAGCTCCCTTGATGACAGGAGACATGAGCTCAGGGAGACACAAAGAAGTTCTGATCCAGAGACCAGCAGTGAGGCTGAGGTCACTCATAACATGGATCCAACGACTACAAAGGAGCAGAGTGAAACATCCACAACGCTAACAACAACCACACAGAGAGTGACCACGGAGCACCACAGGCCGCAACAAGAACTTGGGGAAAGGACCATTAGACCCAACAGTGGCAGAAACAGAGTGGCACAGGACACTTTAAAAGACTCAGCACACACCGCCCATGCAAACAAGGGGACCAGGCCCTCTGGCCATCATAAACACAGTCAGGGCAGTCACACAGGGAGTCATAGTGGCTCCCATTATAGCGGCCATAACGAAGAAGAAAAAGTGACAGTGGAGCCCAGCCAGCCACTCGGTAAAGAAGAGCAGACCTCATATCCCACTATACAGTTCAATCCCACCAGCAGAGCTCCAGTCAGGATGAGGGAGGATAGAGAGCAGCCTCAAAGACAACCCAAAACCCTCTACAACTACCACTCTCAGGATGTGCAGGGAGACACTGAAGGTACGTTATCATACAACGTTTTATTTCAAAGAGTTTTAAAGGAGCAGTGTGTAAGATTTAGGGATATCTATTGGCAGAAATGGAATACAATATTAATATTATATTAATAAGTATGTTTTCTTTAGTGTATAATCATCTGAAAATAACATTAGTTGTGTTTTTGTTTTCCTTGGAATGAGTTGATGTATATATATGGAGCAGGTCCTCTTCAAAGAGCCCGCCACCATGTTTTTACAGTAGCCCAGACCAGACAAACCAAACACTGGCTCTAGATTGGGCCTTTCACGTTTCACGTTTTTGCGTCGGCCACCGTATTTCTCTTACAGGCTTGGCACATGGGGGAAGTTTCAGTTGGTTGCAATCTGCAACCTCATCGCTAGATACCGCCAAATACTACACCATGCACTTTTAAGCATATTTTATGATCAACAGTATTCAAACCATAGAAATAGAATAGAGGTAGAACGGACATTCCTATTCAAATCAACGTAGCAGTGGCGGCCAAACGTCCATATGAACTAAACAGACAACGAGAAGTCGTACACTCACTGAGGTGAGGTTTTGCATTGACGACGTAAACGAGCAGTGGGATGGTAGCGTTAAGAAGCATAGAGAGCCGGAGGAAATGAGTAAAATTGAACAACTTAATGCTACATCCACACACTCTTGTCACAGCGTAGGAAAGCACATTGCTATCACCAGATGAGTGACATCTTTGCTCGGCTTATTCTCAGTAATCAGTGTAGCATTAAAGCATGGTGGACTTAGCAAGCTAGCTAGCTAACTAGTGAACAACTGGCTTGTTAGCGTGCTAATTCCACCATGCTTTAATGCTACACTGGTTACAGAAATTGAGTCGAACGGCAGGCTGGTGGCCAGCGGCAGGTCCCGCTGTCCCTCCGCCTCACTCCTCTGCCACTTCAGAGAAGGACAAGCTACCTAGCTAACTAACCAGCCATCTGTCTCCGGAGCTGTGTCCGCTCTCTTCCTGGCGAGCTGCTACAACACTTTACAGCCCTACTGACGTGTATTGACACCATAACTAACAATAATTGCCATTTTCTTTTGTACTAGCCGAACGATCACGGAAAACAGTTCAATGTTCGTTCCACTCTTATTCCAGTTCCAGGATCCTAACTTTTCTTCTTGAATAAAGTGTTTGAAAGCAACAGAATTGAAAAGAAATCTGAAACATCAAATGTTTTTATTCGTTCAATGCCCACATCAAAATACATCACAGTGTGATGATTTACAGCCTAGTAATGACGAGGTTAGGCTGTTATTATTTCCGAAGACATCATCCCTTTCTTTTTCTCACATCCTGTCTTTTGAAGAGGAATTCATAATCAGTATATCCTAGCTGGCAGAGGTCCAGGAAAAACAATTGTTAAAGGAAAGTCTGTTTTCCCTGGATAGCATTTATCTACCTTACTCGGAAGAGAAAAGAACAATACTAAGTACATGCTCATATTCGTGCATTCAACTTGAGAGAATGCTATATTTCCCTCGAGGTTTGTAAGTAGCAAATAATACTAAGCCCTGTGCTATATTTACATTAGTGTGCTGCTAATATATCTGATAAATCCTTTAAGAGCAGCTGAAATTTCATTTTCTCTCCCCACTTTGCTCTGGTGAGAGCTCCAGGGTTGTGCATCCTGCCTGTATCCTTCATGTGATTATCAGCATGTTCTCAAACAGATCAGCCCCCTTCGGGACAAATCTACCACAGGCCCCATGCAGGAGGGAAAGGAGATGATGAAGTGATTACTAGGATGTCTAGAAGATGACAATGCACTGGAAAATATGAGAAAAATATGTCTCAAATTGTTATGATTCAGGGACCTTCTAGACTGTGGGGAAACCGCATGTGATCCAGCCTCTTACACAAAGTCAGCCGGTTTCAATTATAAACAAAAGTATTTAATACTTCAGAAGCTAAAACAATTGCAAAGTGAAGTACATTATTTACAGTTACATAAAATATCACCCCAGAAAGCGTCACCACCCACACAGTGGAACAGGAGCAAGTGACCGGAAGTTCTTTCTCTCCCGCCTTACATAGTTCAAAAAACATCCCATAATGTCCGTAGTCCCTATTGGCTGAATCCAGCTGGCTCCTCCTTCTCGCAGGACCCTCGCACGGGTATGACCTGAAATGCCTGTCTGTAAATGGCTGGCTGTCCCTACTCTTCAGTTAAATACATTCAATGACTGTCTTTTATGGTTTAACACTTCTATGATACACATTGGATTCTATATAAAGATAAGGATTTGCAACTTTTGGCAAAAACTTCACACGTTTTACAAGCATAGCTGGTACTCCCCAAGTATGTGCTATATTATTATCCACCTGTAAGAGGTGCTACTAATTCTACTAAGAAACATTTGTAACTAGAAAAAACACTCCTATAATTATGATTAATTATAAATTCTTAAACACTTCTAATTTATGACTAATTATGAATTCTTAAACACTTCTAATTATGATTTCTTAATTATGAATCATTAAACACTTCCATTATAACTCTTTAAAGCACAGTTCTAAACCCACATTTCCTACAATATCAAAGTATGATGTTAAGTTACATCTATACAATAGGTCTAAAAATTCTGCCCCATAATCTTAATCTCATAATGCCATATAATGATTGCTTTAGCTTTAATTAATCAAATTCCATTCAGTGCCATAAGAGTTATTGATTAATAAACTTCATGGTATAGGCAAAACCTAATTACATCATAATTACCAATACTTTATGGCCTCATGGCACAAGTATCTCAATATTAACATACTCCCTTATGAAGTGAGTGAACTGCATTATGAAAGAGTGGATTTTATTAGCCATCCCCACTCCAGGGCCTGAATTAATTTTGTGTGTTTTGTCCAGCAAACCACAATCTGCGGCATGTTGTTAAGCCTTCTTTACAACACTGTGATTTTTGTTGGGACCTGTCAGGACATTTCTTTTCTTTCAGCACCTGGCCTCCATAGGTATGTCTTGAGTATGCTGAATGCATCGGTGAGGTGTTTCTGTGTGAACTCCACAGGTGCCTGTCAAGTTCATTTACCAGCACACAGTTGGAGAATATAGGTTAGAAATTGGCTGTTTGTTGCTGTTTGCCATGACACATTTTGTTAAGGAGGGCTACAGACTCAAGTCAAATCTGGGTAAAATGTGAAACTGTGTGCGAGCCAATTTTAGAAACTCTTCTATTCATTCAGGGAGAAAAAAAGACTTTGAGTTTGACAGTTTTTCCACAACGTCCATAACTGCATTAGGATAACGTCCAGCTGTTCCCTGGGAATTATCGCTTCATGGAAGAGAGTTTTGACTTGAAAGTCAAAGCAGGATCAAACTGGATGTAGGATGGAATGACACTGTGCTGGTTCACTGGTGAAGGTCATTGGACTATTGGAGATTTCCAGAGTGGTGACATGTTAAAACACAGACAGGAAAACAACACAGCTGATAAGGGCCTTGACTTATTCCTGTTATCAACGCCATTAGTAGAACATGCCAAAGTTATTTTGGAGAGGAAAAGAGAAGGCATGGATAACAAGAACATGACCATTTCTCTGTAAACATAAATGATCCGCCTCTGCAGTGGCCCAATCTGTGCATTTGCCTCTCGCTCTTTCCAACCAGACGCAGTGTGTGCTCAGAAGGGGTGGGGGGCTGGACCTGGTATAGGATTTCTTTGGGGGTTGTACCTGTGAGCGGCATAATAGCCATGTGATGAATGAGACCACTGTTGTGGCTTGATTGCCAGACGCTATTCACTGCTCCCTCATGAGCCGGAGTGATTACCCCGTTTCTCGTGAGGCTGCTGGTTTCCCGATCTTCCCAGTAATCATCTCATCTGAAGCACACCTCCACACATTCTCCCCTCAGTAACTTCCCACTTTACCAAGCACCAACCATAACATTGAATCTTAGACATGGATAAAATGATTAAACTGAAGCATGCAAATCTTCCGAGTTGTGGAGGAATAACTAAAGAAATGCTTGTTTTCATCCACAGTACTGTCACAGCATGCTGCATATGGGAGTAGGCTGAGCTGATGTATAATTTTCCTTATAGCATTAAAAGGAGGGTGGATTCCAGAGCTTCCCGTCTGAGAGTTCATTCCTGCTGCACCACTACTGTGTAGATCAGTTTGAAGAAGATAGTGCTCTCTGGTTAATCTGGGGTGCCTTCCAGGTCATTTCCAGGAATTTTGGCGTATCTCTTATCCACAACATGTCCTTACTGAAAAACCGCCTGATCCAAATGTCACACTTGTGTATAAATAAAAAAACATCTGTGCCAGATGCAGGAAACCACTCATAAAAAAGACCAAATGTATAACTAGAGAGCGATTGGTGATGAATTGCAGCACAATAACAGATCTGTCATTGACATACAGGCAAAGTGCAGCTGTATACAGATGTTTTTCGGACTTGCAATGCAAGCAGTCGCTAATGTTTTCTCCTCTGAATATGAAACACAGTAAACCTTTTTATACAAAATCTTACATTTATATTAATGCTTCATTGATAAAATGATTCCAGGGCAGAAAATAGTTTCTTCTAATGAGGCTTGTAAAACCAACCAGTTAGGTTATATTATTCTGCTGTGTTATTTTCATCCATCGAATTTCCTCTGGAAAGAACTGAGCAAATTTCCTGTGTTCTGGTTTGTGAACGCACTTTTGAAATATATAAGGCATAATGAGGCAATTGGGAGACAGATTCAGATTACAAGATTACTGTGGAGAATATTTGTTCAGAGGCGTGCAGTGGAATATACTTAACCAATTTAATATGCAATATGCAAGATGCTGATGTTGCCTAGCAGGAACTTTAGAAAAACACCATGGCTGCGTGCGTGCGTGCTCGGATGTGTCAAGGACATGTGTGGCATCCTAAGGAAATGCAAGCTATAAATCACAGTAATTCAATGCATCATTAGTGATAAGTCCTCCTGGCAATGTGTGTGTTAGTGTTTAATTCAGGTTTTCTTACCACAAGGAGGTGTAATTGGATTGGAGGATGCTGTATGAAACCATCAAAGACTGAAGCGTCAACTGACCTTAACCCCGATTAAGACCACAAAAAGATGGATCACACGAATGTTGGCTCACAATCTCAGGGACATTAAGACATAAACTGCCAATGATTGAAACCGGAATTGGCCGTTTTGAAGATGAAGTCATGATGACAGCAGGAGAGCCCTCCCTGTTAGGTCATATCCAGCTGTTTTTGGACGGTGATTATGTGTTTCAAAAGACACAATATCTCTGCAAGTGCTCATGTTGAAGGTGAGAAGAATATTGTATAACTCCCACCCGAGCTTAACGCGGGACTGCAGACGCACGCACATACACGGACATGCTCTAAAGCTTTCAGCATCAATCATCTGACATGTTCAACCACGTGGGTTTGTATGTCATGGACCTTTGGCATTAGCTGTTGTTCACGTTGTTGGTCATGTTCTCTTCAGGCCCACCTGTATTATAAATCACTGCCAAGTCCACAAAAGAAAAGACACACAAGCGTTGATTAGGGGCCGTGCACTGCTTTATGACACCCCCAGACATGTTGAGAGTTGCCCTTTTTGGTTGTTATTCTAGCTTCATATTTTCAAAGGGTGTGATGTCACCAGTTTTGGATTTAGACGAGAGCAAAGCATCTGGTGTTAATGCTAGTCAGATGGAAATGTATAATGACAGGCCCGGAACAGAGAGATGCTCTTCAGCTACCTTTCAAGTGTATATTTTACATCCATTGTGCAAGCACAATAAATCAACTTAGCTAATTATTGCGCTGTGAATGGAACAAGTTGCGATATAGTCTTAATTAGAAGGTCTGTCAAAGAGACAGGAAGAGACCTGGTAAGCTCGGCTAAAATAGTTTATCCAGGCTGCAACTTTCGGTTCTGAAAAGTGAAGCCAATGGGAAGGTGACTTTAACTTTCTTTCTAAAAGCTACCAGGGGGCGTCTCCTCTTGTTGTGAAAAGAAGGCCGATTGTCTATGAGAAGCATGATGTTCATTTAGTGAGTTATGGTCCCATTTAGAGTAGAATAGACGATAACGCAGGATATGCTTTAGGGCGGGGCTACATTGTGATTGACAGGTCACTGCCACGGTGTTGTCCAGTCTGGGAGTTCTCCCTGTTTTCATCTTACAACTTCGGCAAAAAGCCAAGATGGCAACGGCCAAAAACCAAGATGGCGACGTCCAAATGCCAAGTTCCAAGCTTCAAAATCCGCAGTCCACAAAACGGCTGACGTCACAGTGATTATGTTTGTTTCCCTCCAAAGTCATTTCATCCACTAAATCCGTTGCAAACATGGTGACAAACTGTATGTATCTTAACTCTGTATATATCCCACATTGTGAATGGAAACACGGAGCAAATCTGTGTGATGTTCATGACGGGGGAACTGATTTCACCTGGAGAAAATGAATAGGAAGCAAAAGGAGGAGAAAGAGTAATTATGTTCTCTGTCTTTTAATATATATTCACTTGGGTTCAAAGGGGACTTGTTTAACTGCACGGTTGGCACAGATGCTGTAGTTATGTATCAAAGAGTCATTGTGCCTTTCAAGGTTTAGATTTTCTCCTGTCTAAACCTTTAAATTATGCACTGCTCTAGTCTGAGTAATTGCCTTGGTCTTGTTATGTATAGGTAAATCAAAGAGAGTCAGTTCAACAAAAATAAAGTGGATGTGGAAGTTGAAATGTTAGAATGACCTGAGGCACTCTCAGATGTCTGTGCTGATTTTCATGTATTTAGAATTGCAATAAGAGGACTTGGTCTGTCCTCTGAGTGACCCCCACACTCATTTAAGGCTTACGTTGGAACAGACCGTGCTGTGAGAGACCAATTAAAGCTTCGGTCCATAACTTTCATTTGGACTGAAATATCTCAGCAAATATATGATGGACTGTCATGACATTTTGAACAGGTATTCATGGTCCCCACAGGATGAACCCTACTGACTTTTGGGATCCCCTTGGATGCATTGCCATGCAATTGGTAGACACCTTTATGTTCTCCATAGGATGAAATGTAATCGCTTAAATGACCCCGACTTCATCGAGTGCTAAGCACTAAAAACTTGCTTTGGTTTATGACGAAATACCTGCAAAACTAATGATATTCCCATGAGCCTGAGCTGTATTCTGTGTTTAGAGCTAATTAGAAAATGTATTGTTATTTCACACATGTTAGCATGCTGACATTAGCATGTAGCTCAAAGCACCGCTAAGTACAGCCTCGCAGAGCCGATAGCTCGGCTGTAGACTCTGGTTCTCTTTTTTCACATGATAATGAACGATCAGAAATCCTGTGGGGGCCAGTGTCATCACATAAAATATGATCAGACATTTGACTAAACATGATCCATTACTTTAGGAGGGTTAAGTCTACTTCTGATTGGAGCAGAAATGGAATATAATATTATTATTATTAAGTATGTTTTCTTTAGTGTATTATCACCTTACAATATTAATTTGCTGCCTAAAAATGAGCCGTTTTTATCTACATACGGAGCGGGTCCTCTTCATGGAGCCTGCTGCCGTGTTTCTACAGCGACCAAGAACAGACAAACCCATAAAAGGGGTCATTCACGTTTTCACATTTTTGGGTCGACCGCTGTAGTTATCCGACCCGCCAGGCGGGAGAGGTTTCAGTAGGTTTGCATCTGCCAAATATTACACACTGCACCTTTAAGTTAAAACACCAAAAGGAGATTCCAGATGGTGTAAAACCAGAAAGACAAATATTCTGTCCTGTATGGTGTGACTGTTAAAGACATGCATGTCATGAGTTGTGTCTTCTACAGTAGCGCAGGAGCCACAAATCAAAGCTGGAATGCGCTGCTCTGTTATTGAAAAGACACTCTTACATTTTTCCTCTTTCACTCTGCTCCAGCTCTGATTAGACAGGATGTAACAAAAAAATAGGACAATTTTACTTTGAAAGTAGTTTTATAGAGTTTTGAGTTACATACTTTTCCCTGCCAATGTAAGTGAGAGCAGAGTCGAGAAGACTGAAATTAAAAACACACATTGTACGTGCTATTTACAGTGCAGTCTAAGTCTGAGACAAGAGTGTTGCACCAAAGATGAAATACAGTTGCACTAACCACATTTTACAGCATCTCCCTGATGGGAATCCATGATGGGAAATGTTGAACCTTCCTCTTCCAGCTGAACTCACATTGTTACCATTATTTTGTGCCATTCCTCTGAAACACATGGCTGCACTAAGTGGGATAAAGCTGGAACTGGGTGTTTGTGTTTCATTATAGTTCCTGCCAAGGAGCTGTTGAAGACCTGCTGCGAGACAGGGGAGAAGTGGGCTTCAGCTAATGGTCACTGCAACAACATGGAGCCACCCGCAAAAGATAGGCACTCCATCTGCTGGTAAGGCCATTATTAAACGCCCGCTCAGATCATTTAGCTTAATTCTTATAATTAAATACAACAAACCGTAAATCATCTTAAATAGTCCTCTGTGGAAAGGCAGTTGGCTATTTATCCACTTAATTTGACTTATTAACAAGTTAGATTTCGTAAAGTGACATAACTAAAATGTGCAATGAAATGTTTTGCTACTATGGGTTTTTTATTTCTTATTTCAAGATCAGTCACATTTAAGTAGATTTTTCTTTGGAAACGCCGAACGGTCCTCGGACCTTTGACTGGTAAATTATTAAGATTTTGATTTAAACTTTTCCTTCTGATTAAATGCACATACAGTTTTTTAAAAACAGCTAACCATACTCACTGTTTCTGTCAGGGCTGCAGTCCAAACACTTAGGCAGTGCTTTCTCCTTTCTGCTTTTCTCTGCCAGGACCGCCCAACAACAGTGCTGCCGCGGTTCCCTTAGAGAAGGCCGGTGTTTGGCTGGAATGAACGCAGCCAGAGCTGGAAAGATGTGTCAAGAGGATGCCAGCGACAAATGTGGGATTGATTCCTACAAGGCAAGCATCTGTGATCAGATACCCCTCCCAAAGGGCAAACTCAGTTTACTGGGTTCACAGTCAAACATAATGACATTGTCATTTTAAAATGAAGCCTAATACAGCCTGAATTAGCGATTGATGAATGCATTCGTCAATGTAGAATTGAAAACACAGATGGTACTGTAGCCAGACAGTGAGAGTCTCTCTGTTTGAGCTACTTTATTCACGATACCTCCCCTGAGCATTACTGGTGTTGTGCCAATTCCCTGTTATTCAATTACCTTATTTAATTTAGGTAAAAATGATTTAGGGCCAATTGCAACTGAAGATTCCCACAGTCCTGAAGCTTCACTAGCTTCAAAGCAGACCTCAGCATTTGGAAATGTCAGATGTCAATTGTTTGGCCTTTGTGAAATTGTGGAAATGTGGCCTGATAAGTTAATCTGGTAAAACATTAGCAGCAGTAGACACAAGGCTATTATGGCGGTCAATGTGCATGAAGTCACAGTGACTAAGTAACTCTATTGTGGTCGCCCAGACTCCCAGAGACACATATTTGCCATGTGACCCATGTGCTGAAGGATACTTACTCACCTGCTCAGAGGCCCTTGCGCAGCATGAGCCCATTATCGACGCTATGCTGCAGTGCAGCTGTTAAATATTAGTTTTCATCTCCTTTTTGTGGGACCCCTGTAGATTAAGTAATATCAGGCCATCTACAACCACAGTACATCACGACCATTACTATGTTTCATTATGCCCCCCCATACACTTTAAGTGATGATCTTGCTGAGAGCTACAGGGAAACAGAGTGAGAGACTCTGGGCAAGAAGAGAGTCGCTCCAAATTCATGCTTGTAACTATCAAAGTTCATTTCAACAGGATTAAGAGTCTAAAGCAAGAGCTGTGAGGCCATTTAGACACAGTGAGCTAAATGTTAACGTCAGCATGCTAACATGCTCACAATGACAATACTAACATGCTGATTTTTATTCTAAACTAAAGTATTGAACAAATAAAAATGTTAGGATGGCACTAGAGGGAAGGTTAAGGGATGACTAAAGTAATTACAATTTATCCTGATGGGGACATGAATGTGGAACATTTAACTTAAAACAACCAAAAGCCTGATGGTGGGGCTAGAGGAAATGTCAAAGGATCACCAAAGTCCTTAAGATTCATCTTACTGACCTCGCGGATACCCCATTTAATATTAAGATGTGTCCCTTAAATACATGACAACCATTGTGGCACTCAAGGAACAAGTCAGGATCACCAAAGTCAGTAATTCTCCATGAACTATGTTGTCAGTACAACATTTTTATGGCAATCCAATCTGATGGTTGTCAAGATATTTCAGTCTTGATCAAAGTGGGGGACCGACAATCCGGCATTGCCATCCTCGGACCCGTGACGCTAAAAGCAAACCATGCAAACAGTATGGACCGCTGATTGTAATCCTTCTCATAGAATGTACAGCGGCTACTCTAGAGAGCTCAATGATCCATGAATACATGTGAAACGACTAACTGTGTGACCCGCAGGAGTGCTGTGACTGCTGCTCTCTGGGGCTGCAGTTTCTCCGTGAGGGGCATCGCTGTGAAGCCCACCAGTACCTGGGCTTCCACTGCAGACACGTCTTTCTGACGTGCTGCGAGAAGGAGGAGAGCAGCAATCAAGACGGCTGGCACTCCGTCAGAGAGAGGCCCGCTCTCGACTCCACTCCACAACCAAAAAAAAGTACTGTCATCTGCACACGCCAGAATGTGACTGCATTGCATGCTCCATGCCAAGGGAGAGGATGTTGTTGTAATGCACTCCAGTGCACTGCCAGGAAAAAGCACAGATTTCAAATAGACAATCCATTTTCGTTGAAAGGAAGCATTGTAGTAGGATCCCCCAACCCTGCTGAAAAAGGTTGCGCCTCATTGGCCTCCCAGAACAAAGTATAGTAGTCTAGTTCACCCCTGCGCTTTAATCCTAAGAGATCTAATGCCTGTCTGCCTGACATTGCATTTAATCCCTTTTTACTAAATCACCATGTTGGTGTAAATAGTCTTGCACTGATTTGAATTGGCTACTACAAGGTGAAAACGAAGAGTTATCTGCCTTCTGGTCATGGGTGATCAGGTGCTTTTCATTAGGTTTTTTCTTTTCTCTTTTATGGTTCTATTTCCACCTCATGACAAACACTTTGCCCAGCTTATTTGGGATTGCGGCATTTGGGATGAAACATGAGAAATACAGCAAGACATCCTCCGTTAAGTTATTAATCAGAACATTGCGCATCTTCTTGTAACTTGTATTGTTGCATATTGCCGTGCTGCATGTGTATTTTTAAGAGCCCATCCAAGGCGTTGCAAACTCATTGAAGACGTTTTGTGTTTGCAACAAACAAGAAAAGAAATCCACCTAATCGTTGTGGCCATCATGTTGTTACTGTAATTATTATATATAAAAGGTGTTTTCCTTTCAGGAAAGCTATACAACTATGTTAAACAGTATTATGCATTTATTCATATCACAGAGTTGTATTGCCACTCTCTCTCTGTGTGCTGTAGTATCCGACAGCCCGTACCCTAAAGAGGCCTTCTCCATCGGTGAGGAGCGGGACGGGGAGAATGCAGTGGAGGGTCCTGTTGATTTTGAGGACGTGGATGAGTGCCTGATATACGAGGGCAGTATCTGCCACCACAGATGTGTCAACACTCCAGGCTCTTACCGTTGCGAGTGCCTCCCTGGATACGCGCTGCAAGAGGATGCTTTCACTTGTGCACAAGGTAAAATGAACACCACCGATTGTATTTTGTCACACGGCGCTAGCAGACATTTCCAGCGATGTTAGAGCACAGGAAATGTACCATTTGATCCTTAAAATATGATTTACAGTCCGCATTCTAATTTGTCTGCACATTCACAGTGTATTATTTTCCTGGTCTCTTTGAGTTCCTTCCTGTCTGCCAGCCCTGATACTGCCTAGTAATAGTTATTTTAATCACACACTAACATCCCTTTCCTGTACCGACGTCAATGCTCACCCGATCACATCTCTGCTGTCGTCGAAAAGCTTTTTCAGCTAAAGGGGAAAAAAAACATATTTGTAAATCACTCTTTGCACAAACTGAAGGTCCGCTCAGGTGTACGCTTTCGATGTATTTTCAGGTAATGTTGTCTGCAGTGTAGCAGACTTTAATCAACAGTGCCTTTCACCAACACAAGCCTGTCTCAACAGGATACTAATGCCAGAGATCCCAGCAAATTACAGTGAGGGTTGGGGCTCACTAATAAAACCGAATGTTTGTCTCCAGGCAGCTTGTTTTCCTGTCTCACCTTCTCTGATATTACATCTCTCATCTGTATCTACTAGGCCTCATACCGTCGGCTCAAGCCTCTAACTAAGACCGCAGACGACTGAGAGTTGCAATTCTTGATTGCAGTGTAAATCCTCGCTCCTGTGACGGGGTTATTCATGTTTCTGCAGAGACGGTGGACGAGGAGAACAGACTGAAGGAGGACGACAGAGCGGCGGTGGAGCCCACTTCACCTCTCCCGCCTCCCACCCAGCCCGCCGTCCCATCCAACCCCTGTGAAGGTTAGAGACGTTCGGCTTAATAAGCGGACAGGGAGCTGCAGGCCCGACAGCCCACAACGAGCACATTCGGTCAACCTTACGCCTTAGTGGGAGACTGGAGCATGCCTCTTCATGCAGCCAAATTATGTTTAGAGGACAGCACAGGCTGCTATAGATTGAAATGTTATGATATCAAACTCACCCTCCATCGTGAGCTGTAATTGTGCTGCAAATGTCAAACACAAGTGGTGAGATAGCAACAAAGGTTAGTTTGTTTTCAGCATCGGGTGCTCATTCTCACCAGTTCTCCTCCGTATCATAATCTGCGCGGGGTCAAGTCTTGTTTGTCTTGTTTGGTTTCCATGACACCAGGGTGGGGGCCTGCCACACTGCGGGCCAAAAGTAGGAAATACAATATGACCAGGTCAGGGATCAACCTGCAACACAGAAAATCATGTTCTGTCTCCCACCCAGCTCTCCTCTGTTGGTGTTGTGTGGAATAGTAGTACAGAATATTTCATTTTAACCTCACCACGCAGTATTATTTTCAGGAAACGGCCCATGTGAGCAATACTGCACCTCAGTGGGCGGAAGGCCACAATGCTCCTGTTTCCCAGGATTCTCTCTGGTGACGGCTGACGGACGCTCCTGTGAGGGTAAGGAACTAAAATGTAGCTGTAATGCTGAGAACCTTTTCTTCACATCACACCAGCAGGGCATGTGGAAATTTTAGAATTGAAAAAAAAAAAGGCTCTCATTTTCAGTCAGAGTAGTTTGCTTCCAGTCGCGGAGAGTTTCTTGGCATGACTGTCTGCCACTGATTCTTCTTTTCCTCTAATCATGGCCTCTAGATGTGCAGGTCTGCATCACAATGTTTTTCTTTCTGGAATATATATATATATATACTGTATATACTGTATATATATATATATCATGTTGTTCCTGAACTGAGACTCTACCGGAGGCATCATCTCAACTATCCATGCATTATCCCGATAACGTGGCCAACTGCATCCCATATTCATCCTTTATTTCCTCTCAGAATGGTGGTGGGCTGTTTTATCGTGAGGCTGATAAGCTCCTGCTCTATTCTGTCTCAGCTGTCTCCCTGGGGATGTATTTTTAAGTTAAGCCATGTCCACTGGTCCGTCTCCTGCTTGTCAGCCGCAAACTGGGTAGCTCAGTGTGTTGACGAATTTCTCATTGTGTGGATGTTATACCTGGTGGCTTTGCCCCTAATCTCTCTCCCAGAAGAGGGTCCTACCTGTCTCTTTAATCCGCTTCTAACTGCTGACTGCTACACACAGACCACGGCTCCTTATCCTACACCTATTCATCCAGCGTGCACTTTTCATTATTTGTTTTCTCTCTTCACACAACTGTCTTTTATCCTTTACATCCAGACGTAAATGAATGTTTGTCCGGGAATGTCTGCCAGTTGGGTGAGCGCTGCGTGAATACTGCAGGGAGTTATATCTGTCAGAGACCGATCACCTGTCCCCCGGGATACCAGATCAACAACGACATTTGTGAAGGTACACCGCCTCTTATCAGCGTCGTAGTATTCACTTCCACCCGCAGTGAATATGTTGTTCATACCAGCAGGAGAGCATTCCTATTACTGCATGTTCACAATGTACGGAAAAACACATTGTTCAGGCAAACAATTGCTTAGACCACCCATTGAAAGCAAGTATTGAAAATTTGTTTTTTAGTTTTTAAATTCTCATTTGAGCACACAGACAAAGAGGAATAATAAAAATAAATAGTACTCCAGAGAGGTCTTTCCATAGTATTTGCTTGCTGTTAACTCTCAATATAAAGAGCTGCCTGGCTTGCCTTTGTGGGTGGCGCTCAACTTTGAGATGCAATAGTAAACTTCACAATACTTCTCATTATTTCCATGCCCCATAAATTGTGGCTGAGCCGAGGTCTCATTCACAGAGCAGCAGCAGTGTTCAGGAAGAGGGACCCCCGAGATGAGTTTTAGATGTGCTGTAAGTGCTGTTTGCTACTGCAGATGGGTTTCAGAAGAGGGAAATACAGCTAATCTGCAGCTCCTTGTCAAGTTAAAGAATGCTCAATCAGGCAAAATGAGCATTTAACAAGAAAGTATGTTTAATTGAAGCTTCCAAACAGCTGCCACTTTAGGTCGTCGTCATACAGTGCGGTGAAAAAACAAAACGCCCTATTCATAAGAGACTGTAGTAAAATGCTCCTTTTGCCTCCTCTCACAAATGAAGCAACATTACCACACATGGAAAAATTGTGTGGCTATTCATTCAATTGCCAGAATATATTTAACACAAATATTTAAAAAAGACAGAAAAACCCCCCAAAGCATTAGAAATAGAGGCAAACGAGAGCAAGAGTCTATATGCTGCTCTGTGAGGCTGTAACACCAGCATTGCAACATGCTCACAAATGCTAAGCTGCTGATGTTTAGCAGCTAAAAATATTCGGCATCTTAGTTTAGTTTGTCAGCATGCTAGCGTTTGGTAATCAGCACCGCTGAGGCTGATGGGAAAGTCTTTCGTTAGGTATTTAGTCTTGAACATTTGATTTGAAGGCACTAGATGAGAGGTCAGAGGATCCCCAAAGTTATTACAATTCGTCCTGGGGGGGATGTAATGCCAATCCATCCAACAGTCACAGATTCACATCTCTAAACCTCATAGTGGTGCTAGAGGAGAAGTCAGGGGATCACCAAAGTCATTAGGATTCATTATCTGGGAATCACAAGTCCTTGAAGTTGAATAGCAACCCAACCGAAGTTTCTCTGCATAAAGCCATGCCATGCCGTTAGCGTGGCTGAAAAGAACCCAAATCCTTTGAAATTGTCTATAACTTTTCTTTTCGTAAAGAAGTGTCCTTGTACATAGAATCTTGATGGCATTTCAGCCAAATGTATCATTCTGTCGGTGTGGGGCTCCCTCAGCTCCTGCCGACTCTGACAGGAACAACATGCTCAATCACTGCTGTTTAGAGACCGACCCGATATCAGCAGGGCTGCTTCCCAGAGCTGTTTTAGGCCTCTATACAGCAATTACGGCGATAAAATCCTGCAAACCTGCTTGAAAATACAAGGCGCTCGTGCATTATACACACATACACACACATATGCACCACATGTTGTGTTTCTTTGAGATTGTGATTTCCCTCCAGCTTCGGTTCGTCCTACGGCCACAGATGTCAGAGGACTCTTGTGGAATAATACTGCAATATTCTTTCACACACTGCAGAGGACCACTGCTGGTTTTAACTCATTCGGTGTGTTCATCTAGCTGAAATAATTCGGGCCATTTCGGTTGATTGTATAGATAAGATTCCTGAGTTGAAATACGATTCTTTTACTCTTGATTAACTTCTTGAGTAATGTCAGGGAAAGCTTTGTGACAGATGAGCAGCATGAAAAGTGAGTACCTGTACAATCTGCCATTTAACCACAGCGCCACTCAGTGGTGAAATGTGGCATTACAATGTATATTGCAGCTTGCACTGTAGTTAACACATGTAGTGGATTATTAGACTGAAACTGATATCATTTGTTTTGGGTTTTAAATGCAATTAGTCATTTACTCAGTCCTCAAGAGCTCATTTGTTCCTCTTCTTCCTCAGATATCAATGAGTGTGTGCAGCGGAGCCATAACTGTGGGATCGGTTTCGAGTGTGTGAACACCGAGGGCTCGTTCCGGTGCAACCCCAAACCTCGATGTCCTGTGGGCTTTAACCGGGACGTACAGGGCAACTGTATGGGTGAGGAAAATCAGGGGTTTTGCTGATGTCTATCACAGCGAGGTTTGCAATCGTTCCCAATCTTGGGCAGGTGATTGAGGGTAAAATGTATGGAGGTTCCATTTAATTATACATATTGTTTCTGGTTTTAATTGTGCTAATAGAGGAAATGAACTGATGTTTGTTGAGGGGGAAACAAACAAATGAATGAATATGTGGCACTGTGTGAGGGATAAATCTTATATAGCAAGCAAACAAGGGGCTTCAGCCTTTTGTTTTTCTTAACATCAGTATTTTTTGCTTGTTTTGAGAGTGAGTGGGTGAGCCAGGAAGAGCACTAAATTCCCCCACAGGTGAATCATAGTCCATGTAGGTCGTAGCTCACGCCATTGCAGGTGAATCGACGCGGCTTCGGTGACAGAGGGGTTAAATGCCACACAGACAGGAGATCAGACAGGCTGCTGTTAGGGGCTGCAGAGGGGTGGATGAAAGCCAACTCTCTGTCCTCCTCCAGTACAAACTGATGCTGTGGAATTAGCCCCCAGGGGCAGGAACTGGGGCATGTCGAGGCAGCCGACGCCCCTGTGAAAAGGAGTGCAAGAGAAAATGCTCTGAGAAATGAGCGAATTGAGGAAAATGTCAGACACGCACACACATAACAAAGTTAACCGAATTGAATGCGACTGTGTGATGTGCGTTTGCTTTGATATCTCGGTGTGGCTAAAGAGCGGCCTTCTGCTCTCTCATGCCCTGCCTTTGTGCCTTTGGGTCTTCACTCTGTCTTCATCTCCCTCCCTCTGTTTCTCTCTCTCTCTCTCTCTCTCTCTCTCTCTCTCTCTCTCTCTCTCTGCAACAGATATTGACGAGTGTGGTGCTTCGGCCCAGCCATGTAGCCTGGGATTCAACTGCATCAACACTGTGGGATCCTACATCTGCCAGAGGAAGATAATATGTAGCCGCGGCTATCACGCCAGTCCTGACGGATCCAGATGCGTTGGTATGATTTGTAGTTGTCACACATGAAGGATGCGTAACGGTTTTGATACACAGACTTGAAGACGTAGGTGTGATTGAAGTAAGAGCATCATTTTTTGTTTTTTTTCCAGTGCAGCAGAGAATAAATCATATTACTTCACACATGAAGGAGAGTCAACAAAACATGAATTCATTCATGAAGTGGTGGCAGCTGAATGTCATCATTCTCATTTCCATCTTTTCTTTCCATTCATGTGTGTCTCGTAGATGTGGACGAGTGTCAGGGCAGTCTGCATCGATGTGGAGAGGGCCAGCTGTGCCACAATCTACCCGGTTCCTATCGTTGTGAATGCCAGACGGGCTATCAGTATGACTCATTCAGGAGGATGTGTGTAGGTAGGTTGGACATTTAAATGCACCGTCATGCAGAAGAAGCACATTAATGCAAATGGAAGTTTTTTTTAGAGAGAGTAAAAGCGGTGCTTTAAATATTTTGCCCTTACTCCCCTGCTCGTTCTGTTCTCCCTCCTCTCCGCCCTCCATCACTTGTGCACACCTTTCACACTACTTTACAGCCACCCCTCGTCTTCGCCTGCCCACTCTGGCAGCTCCTGTTTATTATTCTGCAGTAGAGCTGCTGCCGTTACCCAGGCTCTGCTGCTGGCTCCTGCGGCAGCCACCGGGCCGATCATGTCTCCTGCAGCAGAGGACTCCGTCCCTGGCCCCCGCTGCTCCCACTGTTTTGTGATTCACTGTGTTGTGACTCTGATAATAATGGACTCCGCTCAAGTGTTTAGACTATCAGCAGGCAGCTGGCCCGCCTCACACCGCACTCTCTCGTTTGACACGTGCCCACGACACACACACGGGCGCGCAAACACACAAATGCAGTACACACTTGCAGAGGTATGATGACGCTGCTTCTTCCTCTCAGATGTAAATGAGTGCTGGCGCTACCCGGGCCGCCTGTGTGCCCAGACCTGCGAGAACACCCCGGGCTCCTTTGAGTGCTCGTGTACCTCTGGCTTCCGCTTATCCGGCGATGGCAAGAACTGTGAAGGTGTGTGTGTGTGCTTATCAGCGTCCGCCTGCCTGAGTGTGTGCGTCCGTGTATGTACGTGTCGGTGCATGTGGTTGTATGTTTTTTGTGAACGTGCGAGTGAAAATATGTGTGTATGAACGTGCTTTGTTGGTGTGCAAAGCTTTTGTGTACGTGCAGGAACAGTGCAGATTCCTAGATACATGTTGCTGAGGAGGGATGGCGGTGATGGGTGTCAGTGTTACATCTACATCATGCCGTGCCTTCAAGCGCAAACCAGTGAAAAAAACATAATTGGCTTCATAACAACATCGTGTTTATATGTTAGGATGGAAACATTGGAAATCCTTTGATCAAACGAATTATGACAGTAATGAGCTCCAACCTCTAATCTCTCCAGACGTGAATGAGTGTTTGGCCAGCCCATGCAGTCAGGAGTGTGCCAACATCTATGGTTCCTACCAGTGCTACTGCAGACAGGGCTACCACCTCAGGGAGGACGGGCACACCTGTGAAGGTGGGGCACGCTAGGACACATCACTAATGTACATGTTAGCTTATGAATCAGTTTCACGTGACTTACTTCCTCCTTGTCGTCCGTCCAGACATGGACGAGTGCTCCCAGAGCATCGGCCATCTATGCACCTACAAGTGTGTGAATGTTCCTGGCAGTTACCAGTGTGCTTGTCCCGAATATGGATACACCATGTCTCCAAACGGACACTCTTGCAGAGGTGAATACCAACCCTTAAAAAAAAAAAGAAAACAATGCATGCACTCGCTGTTATGTAGCTGCTTCATTACAAGTGAACCATATTGCGTTCTGCTTTGAAACTCAGCTCCAGCACGCAGGTGTCAGAGCACAACAATACTATTTGCACGTGGGAGGGATAGCCAAAGTGGCTGTTTACACCCGGGTGTGTATACAGCATGGCAGAGACAAGCACGCAGGTGTCCGTAGCCAACAATGTTGTCGGCGCCCGGGCACACATGTTTAGTTTTCTTAAACTCAACCAAACTGTGACTCGAAAATGGTAAATAATAATAATAAAAAAACTGAAAATAATAAAAACTAGACTTCTCACAGGAGTCAAACACCAATATCCTGAGTGATCGTCTTGAGTCTGTCCCATTCATCCACCACAACAGTTGTCGTACACAAGCTTTGTTGCTATTTATACTATACTATGACTTTTACTACAACTACTACTACTGAATCTTAAAGCCTTTCGGCTACCTAACTATTGCTAACTTAATTGTCATATTCAAATAGGCCGGGCGCAAATAGCTGCTGTGTGACTATTCTCACCCCGGTTCAAATACACTCCGGATTCTCAAAAGCACCCATTTAACTCTTCACAGAGTGTATAGTGATGGTTGTGCTCAGATAAATCTAATTGGTACTTTTACAGAGGCTCAGTAATTACACGGACTGTAAAATTTTATTGGCCTAGAAATATTGTTTTGCTAATTTCATTTTTCTTCTTCCTTGAGCAGTCCCCCCCCCCCCCCCACGAGGACTAGTTCTTGTCTTACATGTTTCCGCAATGAGGCTTTTCCTCAAAAGTTCAACTGTGCCGTGACTAACACGCCTCTCCTCGTCTCCAGGCAGTAAACCAGCCCTTGTGCATTAACTGTGTGCTTTAGATATCGACGAGTGTGCCACGGGGGCCCAGAACTGCTCTCTAGCTGAGACCTGCTACAACATCCAAGGAGGGTACCGCTGCATCTCTCTCGACTGTCCACCCAACTACCGCAAAGTGTCCGACACGTAAGCGATTAAGTCAGTTAGAAATCCATTCCAGTGATCAATGTGATACCTCACTGATCTTTCATGGGTTTGATAGTCTGTTATGTTTGTATGATGCATATGAAGGAGGATATTTCTAAGAGGTAAGGAAGTAAAATCACAAGAGAAATCAGTTTATAGTAGATCAGGACAGTCAGCATTAGATGGCATCAATCAGTTTAACTGATATCACGCACAAGCTCATGTACAATAGTACTTTTTATTACTAAATGCAAATTATTATTACTAATCAATATCATTGCTCATGTACAATATTACTTTTCTAGATAGTTTACTTATTTAACTATATGCATCTTTTGTTGTTATTCTAGTAGGCACTGGTTTTCTTATGCACTTTATATTTGTTACTTTTATTTTTTATGTTGTCATTTTTGAGAAATCTTTGCTACAAGTATTTCCTTCACAATAAATAAAGGTCTATCTCTCTTAATTTTTGCGGGATCAGCTTAATTCATGTACATTCTTCTTTTTGGAGATTATTTTTGATTTGATGATGACCCCATCATATTATCTTATGACCCCATAAGATAATAAATCATGTACTTTGAATTGCCTTGTTGTTTAAAACGTGCCCTCCAAATAAAGTTGCCTGGCCATCCTTTCGTCCGCTGTAGGCGCTGTGAGCGGATCAGCTGTCCCAACTACCTGGAGTGTCAAAACTCCCCTCTGAGGATCACCTACTACTACATCAGCTTCCAGTCCAACATCGTCATCCCCGCTCAGATCTTCCGCATCGGACCCTCCCCCGCCTACTCGGGAGACAACGTCATCGTCAGCATCACGCAGGGAAACGAGGAGAACTACTTCGGCACCCGGAAGCTGAACGCCTACACGGGCGCCGTGTACTTAAATCGACAGGTTGAGGGCCCGCGGGATTTCTCAGTTAACGTGGAGATGAAGCTTTGGAGACAGGGGACGTTTACCACTTTCCAGGCCAAGATCTTCGTCTTCATCACGGCCAACTCACTCTAACAGTTGGAGATGTGCTATGGTCACTAAGGACCTTTTCCTATCACTATTTAACGTCATAAAGTACACCACTGTCTGCCGTGATTGGTTTGAGCAGTTACTCTCTCCTCCAGTTGAAGTTAATATCCAAACATTGCTGTTAGAGTAGTGGAATATTCAGAAAGGAACTGCTTTACATCAGTGTCTGCTTTCACCGCAATTGCATAAAAAAGTCTGTAATTATCTTTTTTTTTTTCTTTATTTCTCACTTGAATTGCTATTGTGCATGTCATTCATTTCCAAAACACATTCCATACTCTCAAAAAGCCATTACAATCTGAATCCCAAATAATAACATTAGCTTAAAGATGAGAGACTTGTCTCCCAGATTTCTGCTCACATTCTGCTCTGTGGTGAAAACAGAAGAAATTGTTTTGAAAGAGTTTCCACGACAGTGCCGCAACGACTATGTCTCTTTGCTTTCCCCCTGCGCTGCTTTTTGTTTTGTTTTGTCTTCGAAGTATTCTATATTATATAATTTGACTCTATATGGTGTATTTTTGTATCCCTGTAATCAGACACATTATAAATGGATGTATTATATTTCTTATGCTAGATTTACAAGTTGCAAAGTATTTTAGTAAAACAATAAAAAACACCAATGTGATTTGGTGAGTATTGACTACTTTTATTTATAAGGAGGAATATTATTTGTAATTCTCAATGGACAAATTTATACTCTCTGATTATATGCAGCTTATATATGCTGTAGTGAACATTACTCCTCTGTGAAGTTGTTAAAATATATAATCTACTCTTGTTGGGGCATGTCACACAGTAGATATCCATGCCTATTTACATACCTGTTCACACCTTGCTAGTGAACCCACCACGAGCGCCATCCATCAACACAAGGCTGCTTGACGCTCGCACATTTACGACGGCTAATAAAAGCAATGATCGTGTTTGATATCTTAAGTTGAAATGATTACAGTCCTCTTGTATGTTTGTGTAACATATTGTTGGCTCCAGCAACTCCATCCCCCTGCAGATTGTAACATGTGAAGAGTTACACTCCCACCTACAGGATGAAAGCAGATCTACACCCTAGTGTTTTGGCTTCCTCCCAAAGAACTTATACAACAGAAAAAGTCTTAAAAAACAGAGAAAGGTGCACCGAATTATTATTAATAGTGAAGAAATTTGAGCCAGTTGAAGCATAAATAATTTAAAGTGTGATTTTCTTTTTAATATGCTCTAATATGTTCTTCTTTAAGCTATGAGGTGATCTTCTGCCCCCTTCTCGGAGTTCAGTGAACCTCCCAGACCTCCTGTAATCATAGGAAAGGGTGTGCGTGTCTCTGTGACAGCTGTATTAATGCGTGCTGCACATCCCAACAGAGCTGCTCGCCAGTTTGCTGGTCTCCCAGATGAGTTATACTGTCAAAGGTCACTCCAACAAAAGAAACTGATTTCTGTGATTTTCTGCCCTAATTTCAGTCCCTTACTCCTCAGTTGGTGAAAACGATAATAGCCGGTTACTCCCAACAACAAGGAAACATTCAATACTTTCTCAGTCTTCGAGTCTAAGACGTTCCTCCCGACATAACTCATAATAATAGCTGTGTGTGTGTGTGTGTGTGTGTGTGTGTGTGTGTGTGTGTGTGTGACTGGCTCAAGCTTTCAAACACACCCAGTGAGTGAGATGCACTCTTGGTATGCACAGAACATAACGAGCCCTAGAGCTGTGATTGATGTCTCTTTCCCCTAATTAGCTTTATCTGCTCTTCAAGATTAGGTGGTGCTGTGTTTCAGGGACAGTGAATCACGCATCCCAGACAGGGGAAGATACACACATCTATTATGGGTTGAGGGACACTGACAGGAAGTTTTGAAATGTCCTGGACAAATGAAGAAGGGCTGTAAGAGAGTTATAGGACTGGATCGTTACAGAAGAGACTGTACTCACTTTGTTAAAGCTCACTAGGCCTGCAAAGATATCTACTATAACTATAACATCTTGAGTTTGTTTAATTAGACATAGGCCTTTAATGATGTGATGCGGCAGAATTTCTGCGTCAAAGTCATTGGTTGCAGGGGACGTGACGGACGCTCTGGGGAAATCTGGGTTAAGATAAAGAGTGGGGAATACTTTCCCTTCAGTCAGAAGTAAATGATGACATGCCCTTAAGCAAGACACCGTCCACATTGGAGATGTTTTTTAGCTGAAACCCAGTGCCCATTAAAAACCACCCAGGACTGGGTTGGTTTGAGGGTTAGTCTTGTACACCGGTGTTAAGACTTGAACTTGTTCACTGGATCCAAATATATTATTAAATAACCCAGTAATATGAAAAGAAACTTGGTGAAAACTGGATGAAGTTAACCCATTGTGTCAGACCCAAACTGGTTTCCTTTTAACCCAGAGATGCTCATTACAATCCTGTACCGGTGGCCCATTTTCCTTGGGGTTCGAGTCTGAGATGTAAGAGCACATATTTTGAAAAACACACTTAAAATTGTGCTTTCTGTCAATCTGTGCTGAATCAAAAAAAGGAAATGGTGATGATAATGATGACGAAGATGTAAAAAATAGCTAATAAATACACTGCAATCTACTGTACAAGCGACTGTACAGCATTTATCAGGGTGGAGGTCGGAGCAAAGGCAGGGGGGAGGGGGTGATGTGAGGGGTGTGTGTGTGTGTGTGGGGGGGGGGGGGGGGGGGGGGGGGGGG